GCATACATATTGGACTGACCCCTTTATCATTATGTAATGTCCTTCTCTCTTTTCACTTTCTTTGTTTTGAAGTCTACTTTGTCTGATAAAAGTACTGCAACTCCTGCTTTTTTCTCCCTATTAGTTGCATGAAGAAAATATGGCTTTTATCCTCTATTCTATTTGTGTGATAAATTATCCTGATTGATTTCGTTTTAAGCCAACCGGGCTCTCCTGGCATAAACCCCATTTGGTTATGAAGTATTTATCCTTTTTATCTGGATTCCACTTGTTGATGTTTCATTTAGGATTTTGTTCAGAGTTTTTGCACCTGTGCTCAGCCCTGCAGCTTGGACCTGCCCCTGTGAGCAGCTCCCAGTTCTCTGAGGCTTATTCCCCAGGCTGCTCTGGTGGGTAGCCTGAGGGCCAAGGTCCAGACCCCATGGGCCTGCCTGGGCCTTGGCCTCAGGCTGGGTGACCAAGGACTGGGACTTGGGACAGCTGTGCTGCTGGGATTGTGTGAGTCAAGCTGAGAGTAGCTGAGACCCGACACCGTGCTGAACTCTGGGGGTGTTGGGACTCAGAAAGGCTGCTGTGTCTGGCTCTGGATGGCTCTCACTGCCTGGGGCGAGTGGCCATTCATATCAAGTGTCTGGGGAAAGCAAAGCGGGGGCCATGTTATGGTCACAAATGGGAACAGTTACCAAAGGGTGCATTGTCTTGAATGGACTCTGAGATAAAGAGCTGAAGGTGCAGGCAGTGTGGGCCATTGGGAGGGGTCTGCGGGCTGGGGTGGACATTGTTCCCTGGGGCTGTTTGCTCAGGGCCTGGGGCTGAGCCCAGAGGGCTGGCCCGCCAAGTGGACAGGTCCTCACACCCCTTGCTTCAGGCTGCTGTGGACTTTCTAGTTTCCTGTCCTACCCTAAACCCACTAGAGGATCTCAGGCACCAAAACTCCCTTGGTGCAGTGGGGGTCAGGCCTGTGCGGGGGACTGGCAGAGGCTCCGTGAGCAGAGGGCCTCCCCTGGATCAGCTGACCAGCCCCTCGGTCTCCCCAGTGGTTCGGGACAGCTGTGCTTGGGGTTTATCTGGGGGCTGTCACATCATTCCTGGGCCCCTTCCTCCGGTGTCAGCGTCCTGGGACTGGGCCTAGTAGGGCCGTGGGGTGCCCCTGAGAGGCCATCCAGGCCATGGTGGTCAGGGTGCGGGAACTCATGGCTTCTGTCCAGACTTTTTGTTTCCCTCCTTTCTATGCACTTTTTTTGAGGCTCTGTGAGTCCAGCAGAGTTTGTAGGGCATCCATGCAGCCAGGCCTCCACACCAGCACCCTCGGCCTGGCTATTTGGACCACAGGCCACCTTGCCTCTGTGGCGGAACTGGGCACCCAGGCACAGACCATGTCCCTTGGAGATGGCTCTGACCATTGGGCACAAGTTTCCAAGAGCTGTGACGCCTGGGTCACTTGGGTGGAGGGACAGGTGGTGCCCTTCAAGGTGACCCTCCAGAGCGCAGTGGGCTGGAGTGGCCATACCAAGCCAAGCGGGGAGTGACCGGGGTGGCTAGATGCCTCTCCTCTGGGGTCTGAGAGCAGCCCAGGGCCAGTGACACTGACAGAAAGCCCCTGGGAGAGGAGGCTCCTTGGGACCAGCGTCTCCAGGGCAGTGTGGGGGTGGAAGGTGGTCCCCAGGGAGGGCGATGGGGGCCTGCAGTGATGGTGGGCTGTGGGCAGGGGTCCTCCTTGAGCCCTAGGGCAGGTCCTGGCTCTCAGACATGCCACCCTACATGCCACCCAGCACGCCATCTGGACCCAGTGTTTACTGCCGTACACGGGATGGGCAGCCTGCCAGACCTGGGTACCATCCCAGATTCCCAAGGGTGGTAGCCCCAGAGGACGAGGGGGATGTACGAGGGAGATGGAGGCTGTGAGGGGCCTTAGGGGCTGGAGGGCACCCGGTTCTAAGGAGGCGGGTCAGTCACTAGCCAGGCCAGATTTGTTGGGGTGTTGACTGGGGGCAAGATGAAGGAGCTGGGTGGGGAGGCTTCAGGAACCAGGTGCTGAGGGTCATCTTGGGAGTGGGCTTGGGGGACACAAGAGCAGAGGTGCATTCACACCTGTGAGCTCAGATGCACACCTGTCTCTGCATTTAGGGCACACTCATACCCTGCCCAGGAAGGGCACTGTGATGGCAGTGAGGCTGTTGTGGCTGTTCCATTTAATACACCTGGCCCTGCTCACAGGACACCTGGAACTGATCATAGACACCTGGCCCTGCTCACAGCACACCTGGCCCTCCTCACAGCACACCTGGCCCTGCTCACAGCACACCTGGCCCTGCTCACAGCACACGTGGCCCTGTTGCAGGTACATTAGTAGCAGCAATTTCCAGTCCTCCTGGTCGGGAACCGTGTGCTGATACCATGTGGCAGAAGTGTCTTGGGGTCTGTCCCGTGTTGCCTTTTCTACAGTTTCTGCTCCAGGCAGTCAGTGTAAGGAGGTTGCTAGGGAGTCACCCTGGGATGGGCCAGTTCCTTTTGGGAAGTGGGGCCTCCTCCAGTGCCCCTCTGGGTATTGATGGTCCCTGAGGCGTGGCAGGCAGGGGCTCTGAGAGTGCCTGGCCGTGCCTCGGGGGCGTTAGTCCCTGTGGCCTCTGGTTCCCCCTGTTCTCCTCCGAGTCCAGGTCTGAAACTCCACATTTGACCTCCCTCCATCTCTAAACCGCCTTTGAAAATGCAGGTCCAGAACTGTGAGCTGTGTGGGGCCCCCAGTGCCAATACTTAGCAGTTCTGTTGTCCTGAACCCTCTGAGGCCAGCACGCAGCCTCACGCAGGACTGGCCTAGGGCAGTGGTACCTGCCGTGCCCCCCACTACCTGCCCTCCACCTGCTACCTCCCAGTTCCCCTCCGAGCTCCACCCAAGGGGCTGGGCCTGCTGAGGAAGGGGCAGGTTGCTCCCTAAGACAGGACAGGGATGGGGAGGACATGGCACTCAGCCACACCCCTGCCCCCCATGGGGCCCGAGGCCAGCAGGAGAGGGGTGCTCAGGAGCTCCGGGCTGGAAGGTAGGTTCCACATCCCATCTGCCACCTCCCTGCGCTCTGCTGCCCGTAGCACATCATGGATCCTGGCTCTGTGCTCACCTCCCCACTCTCACCCCAAAACTTACACACATCCCAAAGAGTCTGGGATCTATCTAGGGAAGGGGGTGAGTGAGGGCTGGATTTTCAAGGAGAGTGGGGCACTGGGCATCAAGAATTCCTGGATGGTGAAATAAGTCAGAACTTGTGTCTCCTGGGGCTTCCCCGGGCTGCTGAGAATCCTCACATTTGGGGAGTGTCCCAGGCTGTGCACCCATGGCCAGCAGACTGAAACCTGGTCATACCTGGTCACACCCGGTCGGCCCCCCTTCCCACTGTGTGCTGACATCTGTCCTATAAGGGGAATCTTGGCCAGGGAGGAGTTGGCTTTCCTGGGAGTGCAGGGCACAAACCTGCGGGTTCAGGACGCACACCTGAGGGTGGAGGACACACACCTGGGCCCAGTGCATACCTGGCGATGCAGCACACACACCTGAGGGTGAAGGACACACACCTAGGACCAGTACACATCTGGTGATGCAGCACACACACCTGAGGGTGGAGGGCACACACCTAGGCCCAGTACACACCTGGCGATGCAGCACACACCTGGGCCCAGTGCACACCTGAGGGTGGAGGGCACACACCTTGGGATGGGACCCCTTCCACCCAGGCTCATAAGAAGCTTCTGCTTCAGGCAGAGAAACGGTGTCCATGATGACATGAACTGATCCCGGTAACACCACCTCATCTTGCCTCTGCCATAGATCCTTCCGTGGGATCCCCGGGCCATGGGCCAGGTCCATACACCTGCCAACGTGGGAAATCTGGGGGCCCTGATGTGACTCTGCTCCTCAGGTCCCAGGGCCACCCCTGCCCGCCCAGCGGAGGTCATGTCCTGTGTTTTCGTCTGTCTCACTGGCGGCTGCACTCCTGTGGCGAGAGGGAAGGGATGGCGGGCATTGTGGCCCTGGCAGCACTTGGGGGCTCCCATGACTCCCCCGCAGCTGGGGGGCCCTGCAGAGTCCTGGGGTCGGTGGGAACCCCATGGGGCCGTCTGTGCTCTGTGCGGAACTGGTGCTGAGGACTCGGATCTGGGAGCTCTTCACTGGATTGCAGAGTCAGGCCCAAGCCTGCTTCCGGTGGCCCCGGCCCTCCACCCGGCCCTCCAGCTGGGAGCCTCCTCTTAGTGGACCTGGCCTTCCGTGCTGGTGAGGGTGGTGGGCCGGCCTCTCCTCTAGGAAGCATGGAGCTTGGCCTGGGCTGGGGCATCTTGGTGCCCCGCCTCGGCCACCGCCTGACGCAGGGTGAGGGGGGCATCAGGGCACCTGAGAGCTGCAAGGGGCAGCAGGGCCTCTGTCTTCTCAGTCCCGCAGGGACCCAGCCGTCTTTGGGGACCAGGCGCCTCACAAAGGCAGAGAGTCGCCGCCAGGTCAGCACAGGTTCTGCTGCCCATGCAGTGTCCCCCGGCCCCCAGCACTAGGTCAGCAGGGTCAGCAGGCTCCGCCCCGAGCTGACAGTGGCAGCATGATCAGTTAGTTCCACGTCCCCCTCCTGAGCATGGTGAAGGGTGTCATTCTGGGGAGTCCCCCCAGCAGATATGGCCCAGGGAGAAGGCAGTGGCCCCTTGGCCAGCTGGGACATGACAGAGAGGGGCCCTAAGTCCCCAGGCAGCTGGCTGGAGCACCCCCAGGGCCCTGCCACGGCTGAGGGGGATCGGGGGAACTGGTGCTGGGAGGGGCAGGGCTGTCTCCAGCTGTGGGACCAGCACTCATGCCCTGCAGCTGCCTCCTGGGCCGCAGGCTGCCCCTCATGCCAGGGTGCAGCTCCGGGGACCCAAGGGCCCTGCGCTACCCTGGGTGCCTGCTGGACACATGCACCCAGCTGGAGGGGCCTGTGCAGCCCCACAGGAGAGGGGCAACTCCTTTCTCTTTCCTTCTCCCCCAGCAACATGGCCGACAGCAGGGCCAAGGCCCCCAGCAAGACACCCCCCAAGTCTCCAGGGGACCCCACGAAGGACAAGGCAGCCAAGAGGCTCTCTCTGGAGTCAGAAGGTGCCAACGAGGGCGCGGCCGCAGCCCCAGAGCTCAGTGCCCTGGAGGAGGCCTTCCGGCGATTCGCAGTGCACGGGGACACCAGGGCCACTGGGAAGGACATGCACGGCAAGAACTGGTCCAAGCTGTGCAAGGACTGCCAGGTGATCGACGGGAGGAACGTGACTGTCACTGACGTGGACATCGTCTTCAGCAAGATCAAGTAAGTGCAGGCCTCCTGGATGGCGGGTTGTGTGCCCAAATGGGGGCACAGGGGCACCCCCAGAGAGCCAGATGCCCAGAGGCTGGGCAGTGGTGGCAGGGCCTCGGCCCCAGGGAGCCTCCACGTGAACGAGGTAGCCAGTGAGCGTGTCACCGGTGGCTCGGGGAGGAGGCACCACAGGCGTCTTTCCACACGCTCAAGCACCCCCAGGTCAGGCGTGCACACGCCCACCCCGAGGTGACTGTGAAGCACAGGCATGGCCTCCCAGCCTCCACAGCCCGGGACCACCCGGGAAACACCACACATCCTTAAGGCCACTGGCAGTCAGCGCCATGTCAGCCTGCAGGATGCCATCCTCCGTGGACCCACCTGCAGGTCCCCTGGGGCAGGCCTGGGGGTGGATGTCTGCTCTGGAGACTGCTTCAGTTGCAGGGTCCGGCCCACCCCCAGGTCCTGGGTGCAGCTGCTTCTGGGCCCAAGGCCAAGCTGCATGAGGGGCCACCATGCACTCACTCGGCCCACTGACCCAGCGAGAGATGGGGACTGCCCTGGGCACAGGTGTCAGGGACATCTGGCAGCCAGTTCATGCCGGTGGCACCACTGTGGGCCAACCTAGATGGTGGGTGGGAGCCTGCGGCCTTGTCAGGATGCACTGCTGGTACAGAACAGGCTCAAGGGGCAGACGCCCTGCACACACCAGCCCAGAGACGGAAGTGGGGTGGCGTTCACCATTTGGGGAGACCAGGGCACCAGTGAGGGGGCGGGGTCCTGAGCAGGGATGGGTGGGGTGGGGCAGGACCCCAACCAGGGCCAGTGCAGCCTCCCAGCTCGGCCTTGGGTGCATGCTCCAGTGTGTCCAGACCCTGGAGTGGAGGAACCGCAAGACTGGTGTCCACTGGGGAAGGTTCCAGAAGAGCTAGGAGGGAGGTGGGCTCCTGCAGCCAGCATCACCCAGACCTTGGTGCCAGGGCCACGTGGTGGCTTCCTTCCCTCCCCTCTATCCCAGATGCAGGGGTTGCCTTCAAGCTATGGCATGTAGGCATGTGCACACACATGCACACAGGGCCCACACATGTGTGCTGACACGCATGTGCCCACATGCGCATGCCCAGGCAGGTCAGCCAGTCCACAGAGCTGGTGGTCAGGAGGTGGCATGTGTGGTCAGCTCATCCCAGGACTGACGCTCTGGGTGAGCCCTAGAGACCCCGTATGCAGGAGACTCCCCCCCCTGGGGGGGCACATGAGTCCTTCCTGCCCTGGCACCGCGTGCGTGGGCACTGGGAAGGGAGTCCCATCAGGTCCTGGCCCTGTCCTGGGTCGGGGGACTGGGGCTTGGCCTTGGCTTCCAGGCACGGTGGCCTCCCCTACCAAAGAGCCCAGGGCTGCTCAGGGACTCCCAGTATCTCTGCCATAGCTCACTGTGGAGGAACATGGTCTGTGAGGCGGGCAGCTGCGGCCCCGGCCCAGTGAGGGGTAGTGGCCATGACACAGTCAAGACCAACTTATAGTGGCTGAAGGGTCGGTGCCATGGCCCCTGGAAGGGTGCAGGCTCAGGCCCCATGTGGGGGTCGGGGGCACTGGCTGGGACCCATGAGGGGTGGATGATGGGGGCTTACATCCTGTCCCTGGGAAGGCAGAAGCAGACAGCATTTGCCCCTGGCAGGATCAGAGGGCGGCAGCACCCCAAGGAAGGGTCTTGGGTTATGGGGGAGGGTCAGTGTCGCTGGCTGGGTCGTGGGGCCCTGCAGGACCCCCTGGAAGACTAGGGGGCCACTGGGGGATGCTGGGGGCAGGTCTGAGGAGGCTGCTGGGGTTCCTGTTTGGAATGGGGAGAAGAGTGTTGGGCCGCGCGCCCTGGTGCACGGGGTCGCCGGGCAGAAGCGCCCTGGCCTGGTGGGAGATGCGAGGCAGAACCGCAAAGCCCGGACTGAGAAGAGCCACTATTTCTGTTTGCGGCCAGTTGCCATGGCTCCGCGGGCGGCCGCGCCCGGTATCTGCAGCCGCTGTTTGGCTACGGTCACCACGGCAGCGCCTGTTTGTTTGGAAGTTACCAAGCGCTAAGCTTTTCGGTGCGTCTCTGCAGCTCTGGGCAGGTCGGAGGAAGGCCTGCTACCGAGACGGGCGCCCGCGGCCAGGCTGAGACACTGGCCACTCTTGACCTTGTGCGCACGGGCGGAGCGTCGCCCAGGTGGCCCAGTTGGGGGCCGTGGACGGTGACACCGCCTCCCACCCTGCCTGCTTGTCTGCGTGTCCGGGCTGGGTACGGGGGCCCCCACCGCACAGGTGAGAGGCCAGGCGCCAGGGGCAGAGGAAGGTGGGCTCTCCGCGGAGCCCCTCGTGGCCCACGCACAAGCGTTTCCTGCGACTCCGCTGCTGGGGGTTAGGAGGTGGCAGGTGGGCGGGCAGGGCTTTGGGGGGGTGAAGCTGCTCTCTTGCCACACACGCTGCGGCCAGGACACAGTGGGAACCGTGCAGCAAGGCGTGCAGGTGTCGGCAGAGGCCCCCCAGCCGCGAGCCTCGGCAACAGCAGCGGCGCCCAGGGGCCGGCCAGCCCGCGGGAGCGGCAGGGAAGCGCCGAGCGCGGATCAGGGCGACTGTGGAGTGGGTGGGGCGCCGGCAGGAGGGGCCATGGGGCCGGCAGAGCTCCGCGAGTGATTGACATCCGAGACGCTGGTGGGCGACACAGCAACCCCGTGGGCCTGCCTGATGCCCCAGGGCATCCCCATCCCCGTGCCATGCCTGGACCGCTCCGGCCTCCCTCCGGGAGGGTCTGGCCCTCGCCCTAAGCTCAGGCTGCGGGGTCCGAGCGGCTGCGCAGGCGCCCGCCTCCGTGGGAACCTCTGGTGGCCGCCCGCAGCAACGCAGTCCCACCTGCGGCATCGCCAGGGCCTCCGTGTGGGCCGGCGATGCGCCTGCGGCTGAGGGTCAAAGCTCGGCAGAGCAGGAGTCAGGGATCCTTCTCCCACTGGCTCCCCGTCGAGTGGACGTGGGTGTCAGATAACGACGCACACAGTTCTCTTAGGAGGATGGCTTGGCTCAAACCCTGCAGAAGCCACACCAGCCTCAGGCCACCCAGCCCTGCAGGTGGCTGACTCCACATCAGGAGGAACGCCTTCCCACTCAGGGGACACACTCAGTGTCAGGGTCATGGCTGCCTGGCTGCCAGCAGTCTCCACTCGGGTCCTCAGCCTCGTCGTGGCCCCTGGGCCTGGGCCAGGTCTGCACATGGGGCTGGCTGCTGGGCCTAGCAGCCCTGGGCGGGAGCAAGTCTGGAGTCGGCCAGGGGAGCCCAACCACATAGCCGGGCCCTCTGTGAACCTAGCTGGAAATTGGGGGCTGTGACCCCACCAGGCAGGGCCCCCCCCACATCCACCCCCACTGGCCTAGGGGCTGATGGGGACATCCAGGAGGCTCTTCCTTCTCTGACCGTCATCTGTGCTGTGTGAGGCCCCCTGACACCCTGCTTCCTGCCCACACCCGTGTCCTGGTCAGCCAGGCTGCTCCCTGGACAGGTCACCCGGGGCCCAGCTTCTGCTGGGTGTGGAGCCTGGGAGAGCCAGTTTTCTCTGACCCAGAGTAGTAGGTTGTCTGAGATGCCCTAGCAGGCTGGCCACTGCCTGTGGGTGCAGGGCCTCTGGGAGTGCCGCCACTCACTGACCCAGAAGGTGCCAGTGAAGAGGTGGGGGCCCTGTGCTCCATCCTGGGACACATGGGCCAAAGGCCAGGATCCTCAGGGTGCTGGCCCTGGGGCATGTGCACATGGCTGTCCTTGGAGGGCTGTGCCGGCACCCGCCTGTTTCTGATACCCCTGGCCAGCCCATGCTGTGGCTGGGTGACCTTCGGGAGTGGGAGTGGCAGTGTCCAGTCCCCTGCCGGCCCTGAGCTGGGGCTGGAGGCCCGAGGGACACAGAACTGAGAAAGTAAGGTGAAACCCCAGGTCGCAGGCCTTGTTACAGCCAGGCCGGCCTTCCAGCATAACAACACTGAGCAGGTGCTGCCGGCCCCAGAACAGGGAGCCCTGCAGCTCTGTGGACTCTGGGGAACAGGCTCACTCTGTGTCCCAAGGGAGTGTATGTGACCAGCTGTCTCTGGGGAAGAGACTGGCATTGTCATTCTGGAACTTGCCGGGGGCTTGCAGCAGTAGGGAGCCGGGTGCCCTGGGGAGAGCTCCCTGCTGGCACAGATGCCTCGAGACCCCCGCGTAGTGCACAGTGGGGACACTTGGGGACACCCAGCCTGACCAGGTGCAGCAAGTGAGTCAGGACCCTAGGCCTGCATGTCCACGAGATCTGGATGTGACCTCCCTGCCCCCAACCAAGTGAGTCACGCTGGTGGTGCCTGGTGCCGCTGTGCCCGGGGAGGGCTGCGTGCTCTGGTGGCGGCCATCAGGCCTGGCGTCCACATGCTACCCAGGCAGAGAGTGAACAGGAGACAGGAGTGTCTTTGATGGCCCAGGAGACATGATCCAAGGGTTGAGCAGTAAACCCCCTGACAGCACCCAGAGGAAGGAAAGAGGTCGTGTCACACTGCCCGAGGAACTGCTGGGGTTCCCCCACGCATGGCAGCTGCCTCATGACCCATGCCCCAGTGGCCTGGCATCCCACCAGTTCACCCAGCCCAGCACCACAGGGCTCATGCTGTTTGTGGGTATTGAGGTGGAGAGCTTTGAGGGCAGAAACCTTCACACACGGGGCCTGAGGCCGCGGCATCCACCCAGTGGCCCAGCCCTGCATGTGGTGGGTGGGATGGCTGTGTGGGTGCTGGGTAGATGTGCGCAGCCACCAAGCCCCAGCTTCCCGCTCCCTGGGCTCCGGGTCCAGGCTGCAGCCCTGAGGGTGCTGTGTCCTCCACTCCCTTCCTGACCGGGGGTGCTGGTCAGCATGCCCGTGCCTTCAGATGTGTGTAAAGTGATGATGCATCCCCAGGTGTGCATCTCCCCAGAGGGCACCTGGTGGACACGTGGGTGACAGTGAATAGAACACATTTTTGTGGAAGCTCACGTTGTCTTAGGTAAGAACCCAGCAGTGGGGCTTGCGCTGTAGGTGTGACCTTTGTAAGAAAGTGCCCGACTGCTCTCGGAGTGGACGCCCGCGCCCCTGCAGCCCCGCTGGCCTTGTCATTTATTCACTCTGGCCCTGTGGCCATCCCGTGGCACAGTGCAGCCTCCTTCGGATTTGGTCTGCACCCTCTGGCAAAGGATGTCTGAGCGCTCTGTCCAGCTTTTACATCAGGTTTTTCTTATTGGGAGTTTTTGAGCATTCATACAGTTCACATCAAGTCCTTTTTCAGGTACTTGACAAGCATTTTTATCTGTGGTTTGTCTTTTAATTTTCTGAAGTGTTTTTCAAAGAGCATGATTTTTAAAATTTGGGGGAAATCCAACTTATCCAGTTTTTTCCTTTTATAGGTGGCTTTTGGGTGTCACTTCTAAGAAATCTTTGCTTAGCCTGAGGTCACAAGATTTTCTCTTAGGTGTTCTTCCAGAAGTTTATAGTTTGGGGGTTGTGGTAACAGGAATGTGACCCACTTACATCAGCTTCTGTCTGTGGTCCAGTCCACATCATTTGTTGCAAAGGCCCCCTGCTTCTCGGCCACTTGGGCCACCTCCTGTGGGGCCGTGTCTGCCTGGGCTGCCGCTGGTCTGTGAGCTGTGCTGCGTCTGAGGTGGGGGTGGCCTGTCCCCACTTTTCAAACTGCCCTTGCTGTTCTGGACCCTCTGCTCACTGGCCCCCACACAGCACCTGCCGGCCAGGTGTCCCTTGAACTGCTGATGCTCAGGTTTCCGTGGTGCAAATGGCTGGCAGGTGGCAACCCTTCTGTGGCTGTACTGATAGGGTGTCCATGCTGCACAGAACCCAGCCCATCACTTCAGATTTTAAAACACTGGAAACTCCCTCAGGGGACTGGCTGGGGAAGACGTGGCCAGAGTGGAAAACACTTTTCAGTTAAAATCACAAGCTGAATAGCCCAGAGGACCTTGCCCACGCTGGGTGTGTGAATGGTCTGCGCAGTGGAGTCCATCTCCAGCTGAAGCGCAGGGCCCACCCCCAACCCGGCTGCTGTGGAAGGTCTGCAGGCTGGGACCCCAAGGCCTTGGGCACCAGGCTCCCCAGGGAGGGCAGGGGCGTGTCTGAGCCTCAGGGTTGGGTGGGGCTGACTGGGCCCCGGGCCCACCTTGCTGGGCACAAGGGTCAGGGAGACCCAGTCCTGTCCCTGTGTGGTGACCAACAGGTGGGCGGCAGACCAAGGGGGGACACAGCGTCCTTCAGGCAGTGGGGTCAGAACAGCCTCCCACTGCCTTCCCCTCAGAGTCCTTCAGGTGGAGGCCACTTGCCCCAGAGCCAGACAGCAGTGCGTTTCCATGTCCAGTTCATAAAGAATGTGGTTTCTTTAAGCTTTTTTCCAACACAGTTTATATTTGCTGTCGTTGCTGATGGCAACCAACTGTTGGGTGTAAACACTGCAGACCAAGGTGGGGGGAGGGGCACGTTCTGTATTTTAACGTTAGACTTGTTTTTGGTTGTGACATCATTGGGTCCTGGGCAGGGTGGTGTCCGTGTCACCACTGAGCCCTCCCCAGATGCCCAACGCTGTCCCTGCAGGGGGAAGTCCTGCCGGACCATCACCTTCGAGCAGTTCAAGGAGGCGCTGGAGGAGCTCTCCAAGAAGCGGTTCAAAGATAAGGGCAGGGAGGAGGCCATCCGGGAGGTGCACAGGCTCATCGAGGGCAAGGCCCCCATCATCTCTGGGGTGACGGTGAGTATGGTGCACAGGGGACTGTGGGGTGACTGCACAGAGGCGTTGAGGCCTGGAGGCGGGTTGACCCAGGCTGCCTCCTGCCCAGGCTGGAGGTGAATTCCAGGAACTGGCCGGCGCCCTTGTCCGGGTCCCGACCCCTCTGGCTGGAGTCTGCTCTCCCCACCTGGCCTGGCCAGCCCATTCTTTCTCCTTCAGGGATGACCAGCAGTCAACCTCCTCTGCCCCCACCGCTCCCTGCCCGCCACCTGACGCCCGCCTCCTCTTCCCTTGCAGAAAGCTATCTCGTCGCCCACTGTATCGCGGCTCACGGACACGACCAAGTTCACGGGCTCCCACAAGGAGCGCTTCGACCCGTCGGGCAGGGGCAGGGGCAAGGCAGGCCGCGTGGACCTGGTGGACGAGTCAGGCTACGTGCCGGGCTACAAGCACGCAGGCACCTATGACCAGAAGGTGCAGGGGAGCAAGTAGCCTCTGGGGTGGGCTCCTGTCCACTGCCGAGGGGGAACCGCCTCACTTCATTACATTCCTGTGCCCACGTGGGCAGAACTGACACCGGGCTGGTGTGCTGGGGCCATGCCTCCTTCCCCCGGGCCCTGCACACCTCTCTCTGCCCAGGTTTGGCCCCTGAACTCACTGACCTTTTCTAACATGCCTGCTGCGTCCCATGGCCAGTGGCTGTTCCCAAAGCATCTCCCAGGACCAGGCCAGATCTCCCGACCTTCTGAACCCTCCCAGGAGTGTGAGTGAACCCCTAACAGGAGGTGGCGGAGTCTGCGAGGACATAGTGCAGGCACAGGGAGGTGGGACACGCAGGGGCACACACGCACATCCACGCATGCTAGCACACGCACACGCCTACGGACAGGTCTGTGCCAAGGGGGGTCATGTAGCCTGAGGCCAGTGTGCAGCCAGTGACAGGAGCTTCCCGGACCAAAATGGAAACTATGGGCAGCTCATTGTTTTGCTTTTCTAAGAAAAGTGTGTTCTCAGATAGGTCGAGGATGATCCAGGATGCCCCCCTCTCTGCTTCCCCCCTGCACCAGCATCTCTGGGTCAGACACCCCATTGGCTGGGGCTCTCTGTGGGCAGGCAGAGCCGTGGCCAGTGTGTGACTGGGCGCCTTCTGCCCACGTCCCCCACACTGGACTTGGGGCTGCTCCCCCCTTACGGCATGGCACAAACCTCCCGGCCTCGGCCTCTGCAGTGAATTCTCGCCTCTCCGGAGCCATTTGGCAACAGCTTTCCCTAACCTCTCCCAACCCCTGGGAGTGTAGGAAACTGCACAAAACCAGGCCAGGGGAGGGTCCCAGACCTGTTATTTGCCGGGGTTTGGCATCCTGCAAGGCCTCCTGCTGTCCCTTTGCATAGACAGCCGCAGCTTGGTCCATGACAGGCTGGCGTGTGGTCCTGGAGCTACCCAGGAAAATGCTTCCTGGAGCCTGTCTGCTTTTGCTTCCAGGGCAGCAGGACATCTGGGGGCACCCCCTTCCTGGACTTGGCCTGGCCAATCGCACACAGCCAAAAAGCCATCACTGTCGTGACACCCCAGCTTCCCAAGCCCCAAGGGGAGCTTGCCTGTGCAGACAGTGGCTCAGGGCCAGCATGCCCATCCCACGTGGCCTCTCTGGGGGGACAGCGTCTCCATCAGCCCCCATGCCCCTTAACTCAGATGACAGTGGCTTCCCAGGCCAGCTTCGTTCTGAGGTTCTGCAATGTCACACTGCATGGCCCTGAAACAGGACATGGACCACCAGCTTCTGGAGTCACTCCTAGGGCATGATCTCACTTCTGCTTCTGAGCTGCCCACCAGGCCTCAGACTCGGCAGGGAAGCCAAGGGCAGTGCTGGGGGAATAGCTGCAGGACACAGCCCCACTCCATGCTCTTCCTGAGGAAGGAGAACAGGTGGGACATGTGTCTGAAGACAGCTCCAAACCTGCCAAGGGCTTTCTGATGAACCCATCACATCCCAAGACACACACTTTGGGAGCACCCCGAGAACAGGGCTCCTCCCCATGCCCCGCCCCCAAGGCTCCACCACAGAGGCCCTGGGTCTCCTGGTCCAAGGCAGCTTTGCTCCTTCTGCCTGTGAGGAATGCGGTGCCCACTGTTCCAGCTGACTCTCGCAGCACAGACCCAGACTCAGCAGAATGCCAGCCCTGCAGTGTGCATGCCTGTGCAGAGGCAGGTCCCAGTCGCAGCCTGCGGTAGGGCATCTGGGCCCAAGTGGCTGTAAGCCCTTCTGGGCACAGCATGCTCAAGAGAGAGGCACCCGTTCTTCCTAAAGCTGTGTCTAAAGGCAAGAACAGCCTCTCTAGTCCATCAAGGGCTGGCTGCCCAGAAACACACGGGAAATCGGGGTGTAAGCAAAAGAAACGTAAATGCCTGTCCTCTGGCCATCTGCTGCACAGCACGCCCCCCCCACCCCCGGAACTGCATCCCTGGCCTGTGGAGCCTGCACTCCCTCAGGCCGGTGGGGACAGCTGCTTGGTAAGACACTCTAACAACTCTGATAAAAATCCCCCAGTGCATGCAAGACTGCCAGCAGCAACTTCCTCTGGGTGTGTGTGAAAACAAAGTGGGCACAGCTATGCCCCTTGGTGGCCTTTCAGTCCCAGCCAGCCCAGCACCTGTGGATCCTGGCAGGAGAACCCCACACCCTGGGACGGGGCATCAGGGCTGGGGTGTCCCAGGGTCAGCTTGGTGGTGTGCTCGGGCGCTGTGGTCTCTGCTGTGTCCCCAGCACACACGTGGGCTAGGCAGCTGCTGCCTCCAGTCCAAGCTGTGAAAGCACAACCCCCTCTGCCGTGGGGGCAGGCAGAGATGGTAATGACTAGGTCAGGACTCAGCAGCCACCATCTGCTGGTCGGAGCCACCTGCTCGCTGCATCCCTGCGTCCGTGTCACCTCTGAGCACAGAACACGTGCCTGGGCTCCAACGTCACTGTGCAGACACGTCCATGCGTGCCCTTCCATCAGACCCCCATTTGTGCATGTCCTATATGATGCCCTCCAGCTTCTACTAACCATGCTTCAATAGAACTAAACGTCCACCTGTGCATGAGCACTGCACAGTGGGTGCCAGGAGGCAGACATGCTGTCGGGAGGACGCAGCTGGTGGCATCTGAGCAGCAGGACCAGGTCTCACCAGATGCTTATTTATTCCTACTTAAGGCCACGGGATAAACAGCTAGGTGGTGGTCAATAAGTTAGCTTTACCAAAACTGAAGTTCAAATCACACAAGTTTAAGAACAAAGATACATATTTATGCCACAGTATTTTTATTTTAAGCCGTTAGTGTCTTCAGTCTGAAGTTTTGAAGTGGATGAAGTTACAGCAGATGCTGCGGTTGGGAAGGCTGTGGGGCTTGGGGTGCCCCAGGGGCCAGGAGAACAGGGGCCCTGGGCATCCCTCTGAACACATGTGGACAGAGGCCGTGAAGCAGGGCACAGGCTCGGCTGCTGGGCCCACTAGCCTGTCTCTGGAATAGTTTCCTGGCCTGTGGCCATGCCCAAGTGCTCAGGCATTGTGCCAGTCCTTTTGCACTACATCATGGCATGGAGTGAGGCAGACGCCGCAGCCCATGAAACCTGAACCTCCGCCACCTGCCCTCGGGGTCAGGTGCAGGGCCCACACGGCTGGCTGCACCCCACCCCCAGCACACGCCCACAGGCACCCTGCATATCCTCCCCCGACCTGTGCAGCATAGGTGGGCAACTTGGCTGTTACTGTGAATTCTCAATAGGCTAGATACCCCCGAAACCCTGCCCTGAGTAGCTTCCCTCCACCAGTTTACTACTGAACACTGTGTGACCTGGGGCTCGGGCATGGCAGGTGCAGCATGCGGCCCTGGGTGGAGGCCCCGGCAGTCCCCCTGCACTTGGAGATCTTTAGTGACCCTCTCTTTCGGCCCCTGCAAACCCAAACCAAGCCAAACAAAGGAAAACGTGCAGCTTAAGAAACTTGAAGGGTCGGATCCTGGTGGTTTGCACTGAGTATTTTTCAGGAGCGGGAAATGAATTTATATATATATGCGATCTATTTTTACACTGTTTAGTTTGTATGTAGTGCACCAAGGGCATCGCTGTCAGTGTGGTGGGTGACGTAGTCGGCGCTGGAGCACTCTGACTGGCAATGCACTGGCCAGGATGCCTGTGGGGTCGTGGCCCTGCTCCCCCTGGATGCGCAGGTGCTGTCGAGGCCAGACTGGCAAACCTGTACTGGAACAGCGCACTATCTGTGCATGCTCCTCGTGTCTGCTGTCAACACTGTCAAGTGGCTGAGGTGATAAATAAAGGTGTTGGATTGCAGTCTGTCCTCCTACATGTACAGTCAGTTCCAACACTCACACAGCGGCACTGATGCCCAGCAGGACGGCCCCAGGGAGCCCTGGGGGAGCACAGCCCTGCTCCCAGGACTGACAGCCTCATGTCACGTCCCCAAGGGCACTGTTCCCTCGGACAGGTATACCAGCCACCTGGCCACCTGCCTTGTGGGAGACCTAGTGTGGCCCCGGAGGTGGGGTCCAGATTCAGGGGATAGGACATGAGCTAACTACACATTGCCACAGCCCCAAAGATAGGACTCATCGAATCAGTGCCAACCTGGGATCCAGCTCCTGTGAAATACTCAAAACATGAAGATAAAGGCATTTTTAGACTATGACAAGGGAATTTTCACCAGCAGACATTAAAAGAAATCCTAAATGCAGAAGAAAAGTGGTCACAGACGGAATGTGTGAGATACAGAGGTGAGGAGTGAAGAAAAAGAGTCCAGAGCCACGGGCACAGACATGCGCTTCCTGGGGATGAGAGCTCAGTGGAGCATTTGGGAGCATCACATGAAGCTGGGGGGCTGCTCAGGGAGCCCCATGCATGGCTGTGGCGTCGGGGGACAGGCGCTGACCAGACACACACGCACACACCTGGGGCCAGTGGAGGTGAAAAGGCTGGAAGGTAATCTAAAAATAGAAACAGTAGAGAGGGGAAAACATCACAGAAATAGGACAAACAGCACAAAATGAGATGACATTTAAAATGAAACGTATTGATTACATCAGCTGACGAAGGGGAGAAAGCAGGAAGGGAACCTGAAGAAATAAACATTTAAGCTGAATGTGTCAGTGACTCAGCGTGGCTGATGACAGGAGAGGGCAGGGAAATGAAGGGCAGGTGAGGCCACGCTGGCTCTGGAAGGACCAGTCGAAGGGACGGACTTCAGGTGGGACTGACAAAGAGGAAGTAGACGCAGGGAGGGAGGGAGGGAGGCTGGGAGGCAGGGCGGCCTTGAGGCCACGACCAGACTCGAGCTGTGTCCTCAGGAGACACCCGTCAAGAGGCAGGAAGAGGGGGTTCCTGGACCCACAAGCTGAGGCAGAGCCTGACGCCACTGTGATGGCGCCTCTCCCTCATGGAATCCACTCACCTGAATGGCGAGGCGGGGACGGGTGCCACACTTCATGTACTGAAGCTATTTAAATGTCATTAAAAGACTGTTAAGCCAAAAATTGGAAAATTAGGCTGTAGGAACAAATTCCTGGAGATCTGTAACTAGTGAAAACTAACTCAAGAAAACATGGAAAGCCCACATAACTGCATGACTTGGGGCAGCCAGCCACCAGTTATCCAGGAAAACCCCAAAACCTCAGTGCCAGACATGAAAGTTATTTCTTACTCACACAAGGTTCAACTGGGCCCAAGGAGGGAAGAGAAAACAGGCTCCCAGCTCATGTGGTGAAGCCAGCAAGGCCCCCAAAGACAGGGACACGCTGAGATGACACACCTCAGCTCTGAGGCTCAGAACCAGTCACGTGGCCCCAACCAGCTGCAGGGGAGGCTGGTCTGTGAGAACAGGTTCTGCCATATCCTGTAGCCATCAATTATGCCAAATCAGTCATCAAAAGTCTCCCCACAGAGAAACTCCAGGCACAAAGGACCTCAGGGAGTTCCACCAAATATTCAGCATAGTAATAGTTACACTTGAGTATAAATTCTCCTGGAAAAGACAGAGATGCACAAATGAACCCTTAAGGACAGTGTAACAGTGCATACGGCAACAGCCACATCCAGAAAAATCATACACCAGTATCACCCATAAAGACAGAATCTAACTCCTGTTATTAGAGGAAATGATTTCACACTGCCCACTGGGCAGACACAGTCCTACAGCCTCATTAACAGTAGCTCACACAACCCTCACCCCGGCATGGGGGGCACACCCTACTATTGCTGCCCTACGAATGAGGGGATCAAGGCCCCAGGGATATAAGACATCGCCCAAAGCCAGACGTTGAGTGGTGACCCTGGGGTACAGAATCTTGGGCGAAGTGACATCAAGCCACACAGCGTGTATGTAAAGGAAACCCACCATTACTAAGTTGTTAACTGAGATCTCACCTAAGGTCATTTTTACACAAGCAAATTATTGTACTGCACCTCATTAACAGAAAAAAGGAGAAAAATCACATGGTCATCTCAGTAGTTGGCAGAAAGAGTATCTGATAAGATTCATCCATTTATGATGAAAAATTCTCAGCAAATTAACCGAAGGAGCCTCTTTAACCGGATGAAAGCTGTCTACATAAAACCTGTATGTTATACCCTCCGGAACGAAGATACTAAGGACTGTGACCATTCGTGAAGACTCAGACCAGCCTAGGGTCCCCTCCACTGCGAGGAGGTCAGCCCAGTGGAGGGGTTTGACATTACTGACAGTGAAGCTGTTAGCAATGTGGTTAAGGGGTTCAGGGAAACATACTGGGAAACAAAATCTCAGTAAAAAAAGAAACACATGGAATTTTATAACCAAAAATTACATAGCTTCTGAAACAGAAATTCCCAACACAGGCTTAACCACAGGTTGGGCGTGCAGAAGAAAGCCCTGAACTCTGCGGCAGGCAGGAGACGATGCAAAGGGGGGCGCCGAGGCCAAGCGGGGCAGCAACCTGCGGGGCCTGTCAGTGGCCTGGCATGTGCGCACCTGGAGGCCCTGGAGGGAGGCGTGGGTCAAACAAGAAATGTTAAGAAGTGGTGGCCAAACTTTTCCAAATTTGATTGAAAATATAAACTCATGAGTCCAAGAAGCTCAATAAAATCCAAAGAGAAACAAAGAGCATGGTGACCATTTTCTACAAGCTTAAAATGGATCAATACTAAAATCCTTCAAATAAAGAAATGATCTGATGATGAAAGAACCCCCCCAAACCCCACCCCCACAAACTATATCTGGAGACACATTCACCGGCTAAATTGCAAAAGCCAGTGATAATGGATACACGGAAGGAGCTCGTGGCCCAGAGATCCCCCCTAAGACCCCTGGGGTGGCGGGCACCCCTCAGACCTCCCCAGACACACACATCACCAGAGAATTCTCTTCTAGACGTGCTGTTGTTACATCTTAAACGTTTTTTTAAATTACTTTTATTTTACCAAAGAAAGCAAGTATTATATAAGATGTGAAGTTTCCAAACTAAAAACCTAATTTTATGCCTGTCATGACATCATTTTCAGAATGGCACCACAAGCAGGAGAGAACCAGGCAGGGCTGAGGCAGGGTGTTCACAGCACAGGACAGTACTTTTTGTTTCCCACAATTGTATGACTTTTACTAAGTCTGGGAACTTAGCTGTTCCTGCTCCCAAGCCTTGGGGCGGTGTGTGGTAACAATTCAATGAGAATCTCAGCTAAGATTTATAGAGACCCACTTGTCATAACAATATATTACTTTATTAAATTAGGATTGCTTTTTATATAAAGTCTTTCATCACCATTATACCTCTTTCACATTAGGCAGAAAAATACTGCATATTCTTTTTTTTTTTTTTTTGTGAGGGCATCTCTCATATTTATTGATCAAATGGTTGTTAACCACAATAAAATTCTGTATAGGGGGGTCAATGCTCAATGCACAATCATTAATCCACCCCAAGCCTAATTTTCATCAGTCTCCAATCTGAAGCATAACGAACAATGTCTTACATGGAGAACAAATTCTTACATAGTGAATAAGTTACATGGTGAACCTTACAAGGGCAGTCATCACAGAGGCTTTGGTTTTGATCATACATTATGAACTATAAACAGTCAGTTGAAATAAGAATATTGATTTGATTTTTATACTTGATTTATATGTGGATACCACATTTCTCTCTTTATTATTATTATTTTTAATAAAATGCTGAAGTGGTAGGTAGATACAAGATAAAGGTAGAAAACATAGTTTAGTGTTGTATGCATATTCTTTATCTGAAGATATGTGATGAAAAACTGATCTGCTCGTCTCAGAACATGTCAAGCAGATTAACAAAGGGCTTCGGTTAATCCTGTCTTTGCAGATGTTCTAGAAAACTGAGCTACCAGCCCTGAATACCTTTCAAAACTCACAAGGTAATTACCAACGGAAGGGATGGAGGTGGGAGACCCTCAGCCCACAGAGCCTGGAGGGGAGCCCAGGACACGCCCAGCGCTGCTGTCCCTGCTGCGCGGGAACAGGGCCATGGTCTTCCTGAGCTTCCTGTAGCTCCAGTGCAGCTGTTCCGCCTCGGCCCTGTGCTGGACGCGGGCCTGGCCCAGCTCCTGCAGGAGGTGCTCGTTAGTGCTGACCAGGGAGCTGGGGAGACAGGCGGGTGCCTCAGTGCAGCGCCCTTCTCTCCCGCCATGCCTGCCCACGGCCCAAACCCGGCCCCTCCAGTGTCCCTCTGGCTACAGCCCACCTGCCCACACCTGGGGCTGACTCGATCCCTCACCGTCAGCAGCCCACAGGCGCCACTCAGCACCAAGGGGCCGAATAACACCCTTCAGGTGAACGCGGGGACCCTTAGTCCTCCAGTGCACACAGTTTGCAGAGCCCATCGCAATCTTTGTGGGCAGCCAAACGACAAGCTAATTCTGGACAAGGCCCCAAGACTGAAACACATCTAATCCCTGGTCATGCGTGAAGAGCCCTCTTGTAACTGAAGCCCTGATTTCTGATGTTGACCATTTGTGATTTTAGAAAGGGTTTTGGAAAGGGGAATTCAGCCACCTCTGTCACTTCCAGATGGCCCTGCCCCCCGATTCAGCAATGACTCAAAGACACTGTGGCACCATGAGAGAGACAAACATAGGGCCATTTTCCCCAGTGACCCGTGTGCCTGGACCACCGGAACAGCCACTGGTCAGACAGGCCCAGGGTGGGGTGAACCAGCACTGCCTTCTGGGGCCCGGCTTGTCTACATCACGCCCGCATGCAGCACCTCTTGTGGCCCTGCCTTGCCAGCCGCTGCCCAGTGCCTCTCCCACTCTGGCCTCGCACACGTGGGTCTGTGGGGTCTGCTGTGGCCCTCAAACCCCAAAGATCACAGCTGGGCTCCAGCTATGACTGCAAGGCACCCAGACCCAGGGGACCTGTGGGGGCCCCAGCCAAGGAGGTGGGCAGGGCCGGGTGGGCGTGCGGGGAGAGGGAAGGGCAGGCAAGTGCAGTGGCTCCCTCCTCACTGGCCACAGGGCACTCCCTGCACCGCCACCAGGCCCACGGCACCTTACCCGCCGCACCCAGCCCCCACCCCAGGCCAGCACACAAGCCCTGCCCCTGCACAGCCAGGGCGTAAAGGTGGCATCTACACCTTCTAAGGTCACCCTCTCTCATCACTGCTCGGGCCACCCCAGGGTGCCCCTGCCCCCCTCCCAGCAGCACCTGTGACTCTCCTGCAGCATCCCAACGAGCTCCTGGATCTTGTCGTAATGCTCCAGGTGCTGCCTCAGCTCCGCCATCTCCCCAGACAGCTTCTTCACACCAGCCTGCAGTCCTGAGGGGGAAGCAGGTTTGGTGCAGTTCAATCCATGCCCTGGAGCCCAGACGACCCTGGACTTGACGCCGGGTCTGGACACAAGGGGAAGCATGTACTCGGACAGGCCCGTCTGGCAAGTGGAACGAGGGTCCTTTCTAGAACAGGCTGTGCTGCAGAGAAACACTGGCTGGGACAGGCCTGGAACCCCTGGCAGGCCCCATCCTAACGTGAGGGCAGGAAAGCTCAGCCCCTGCTCCCAGGAGATGAACAGAGAAGTGCTGAGGGCAAACTCCACCTAAAGTGGTTGCACAGGCATAGTGGCCACCCTCAGACAGAGGAAGCCACACCCAGTGCACACTGGACCTACACGACTATCCCGAGCTGAAGACAGAAAGGAGACGATACAAGAAACGAGGGGGTTGCCCAGGTAAGGATCAGGACGTCAGTGAGGACGCAGCTTAACGCAGGCCATGATCTGCAACCGAGGAAAACTGCACACAGAGCAGAGGCTGGGCCAGAAGGAGCCCACGCCACCGTGACCACTGCATCCCAGCGGGGGCAGAAAAGCTTCTGAGTGGGATACACAAGGAGCCTTGGCCACTCGCTGGAGCAGCCTCACATGCCCCGCAGAGGGCAGGCCGCTGTCATCCATGCTGTTTGCTCAACAAAGGCCACACTGAGCTCGTGGGGTGGAGGCTACATGCTCTAAAATATTTACTCTCTGTCCCTTTAAGAAAGTTTTCGGAGCCCTGGGAGGTAAAAATGGGAAAAGATGCTCCACCTGTCTCCTTCCAGAAGTGAGAACCTCCCACAGACAGCACCCACCCAGACAGGGTGGCCATGGACAGCAGCCACACTGCCGGTCCACCACATCGTCACCTGGCCTCTGAGCCCAAAATACCGAGTGTACACAGCAAAACAGAATCGGAGGAAGTGGAAAGAGGACAGGGCTCTGGGTCTGCAATGGACAGTGGCTGAGAAGAAAGCCTGCCGCACCTGCATGAGAGAAGGCTGGGCGGCTGCACGGTCAGTCTAAACACTCGGAGGCAGCCAGGCTGGCTGAGCCTGGGCCACAGCCCATGACCATGGGACGGTGCCCGAGCTCTGAGACTCAGCGGGTCTGAGCCGTGAGGATCGCAGAGCCCACAGGGCAGCCACCTCTGCCCCGACTCACCCCCCACTCGCCCCTGGCAAGCGGGACCGAGGGGCCCTGCCACAGCCGGGGCTGGGGCTCCCGCCCCATATTGCACACAGCCTGTGGTCTGAATTCTGAATCCTGGACTGACTGAGAACGGAGTCTACACCGGAGCATGTGAACACCTGCGTCTCACCAAATGTTTCCAAATACGCTGTGAACTCACCAGTGATCTGCAAGTTTAATGTGGCCGAGGCATCTGCATTTCTTACTTCCTCTTTCATACTGAACAAAAGGGACTTTAAGCTATTGTTCTCCTCTAAACATTTGTGTAAATGTTGCCTTAAGTCACCCTAAGGACACAGGAAAACACAGTTAGGACAGACACATCAAACTGCGTAAAATGCATAGAAAACTCAATGAAACCTTTTGACATCACCAAATCTTGGTTCCCTTCCTCCCATCATAACTGCTGAGTCTCTGTGTGACAGAGCCTCACCTGCCCGTCCAGGCTGAAGTGGCTACTCTGGAGAGGACCCCAGCCCTTGGGCACAGCCACGACCCCACCCCCAGGCCCAATGCTGAGGGCACAGAGGCAGTGGCTGCTCGAGCCCGGCTGCCTCAGGAAGGCCCCGTGGTCACCACATCCTGGTCCTCCTCCCTTCCCAAGAGCAGGAGCAAGGGCCAGCCCCTGCAGGCTCACTTCTTGGGCAAAAGCCCAGGCAGCCACGGGGCTTCGTGCTCCATCTGGGTAGGTGGCCTCCCTGCAGGAGGGCAGTGTGGCTCCCGCCCATCCTCAGAGCTGAGGGGAGGCCCTCAGCAGCTGCCGAGCAGCAGCCTGTGGACAGATGTGCCAGTGGAGGTCGGGGGACAGAGGCCACCACAAGAACAGTGTTGAGGGCTCCAGCCCTTTCTGGAAGGAAGAGCCACTTGTACGTATAGCAGACCACAGTGCATTTAAATGCTAGAGGCTGCCCGTATCACTTCACTGTTTTCCATCTTTTTCTCTAAAAAGATGCTTTGTATGGGATCTCGAAAATAGCAGCTTCTTATAGAGTATGTACCAGACTGTTTCAGATACTTGTTTCCCAGCAATCCTATGGCCGTTTCACTCTCCTTTTACAAAGAGGTGACTGATGGAGGTGAGGCAGGTGGTGGCTGTGGTGGTCCAAGGGTGTTTCCACCTCCTGGGGCCCCTCAGGTTGGCTGGGCCTGGGGACCAGCTCCTAACCGATCAAGAAGCAGAAGTGATGACATGTCACTCAAGCACAGGTTACAAAAGACGGCCTTCTACTCAGGTGCGCTCTGGTCAGCAGGTGCCACGTTGTGCAGACCTCTGGTGGCCTGTGGAGAGGCCCACGTGGCATGGAGCCAGGACCACCTGTGAGACCGCCTGGCAGAGAATCCCCACCCATCAGGCCATTAGCAGAAACCTCAGCCTATCAACAATCTGATGGCAACCTCACAAGACCCAAGCCAGATGCACCCAGCTCAGCCACTGTGGGATTCCCAACTCACAGAAACTGTAGGCAGTAAGTGCTTATGGTCTGAAGAGGCTGCATTTTGGTGTGATGAGCTCTGCAGCAATAACTAACACAGAGGGGTTTGTGTCTAGCTCAGACTGACCAGGAGGGCAACTCCCAGCCTCCCAACAGTGTGACACAGCCCACGTACACTGGCTTTTTAGAAGGAGAGCCCCTAAACAGATTCCATACAGTAAAACCCAACCATGATGATTAGTGCAAAAAACTTCAATGAATACACAATGGTCTTTCTTAAAATTAAAAATTACATACCTTTAAGGTATGATATGAGCACACAGAAATGACCACTACAGTCAAGCTAATTAACACAGTTAATATTAATATTTTTTTCTTGCTGATGAGAGGACCTGAAGTTTCTTCTCTTAGCAAATTTTCAGATTCAATATAGTATTTAACTGTGGTCCTCACACTATGCAATAGATCCCTGGGCTTACTCATGCTGCACAGCTTGTCCCCCCTCCCCATGGCCGGTAGCCACTGTTCTACTCTCTGCTTCTATGTATTTGACTCAGATTCCACATCCAGGTGAGACCATGTGGTGTGTCTGACTTCTCTCACTCAGGATAACACGCTCCAGGCTCATCTGCACCTTTTTTTTATGGTTAAATAATACTCCATTGTGTGGATACACCACCAGTTGTTTGTCTGTTCCTCCACTGACACTTAGGTTGCTTCTGCATCTTGGCTGCTGTTCACAATGCTGCAATAAACATGGGAATGCAGAAATCTGTTTTCATTTCCTGTGGGTATATTCCCAGAAGTGAGTTGCTGGATTGTGTGGTAGTTCTATTTTTCTTTGTGGGACCCCCATACTGCTTTCCACAGTGGCTGCACCAGTTTACATTCCCCCCAGCAGTGCACGAGGGTTCCCTTTTCTCCACATCCTCACTAACTCTAATCTCTTCTTTTTTTTATTAAGACCCATCCTAATGGGTGTGGGATAGTATCTGTGATTTTGATTTGCATTTCACTACTGATTAGTGATGTGGAGCACCTTTTCATGTTCCTCTCAGCCACCTGTATGCCTTCTTTGGAAATACGCCTATTCAGGTCCTTTGCCCATTTTTTAATAAGGGTCTTTTTTTTTTTTTTTTTATGTTAGTTCTTCATATATTGTGGATATTAACCCCTTATCAGATTCATAGTTTGCAAATACTTTCTCCCAAACTGTAGGTGGCCTTTCCATTTTGAGATTGTTTTCTTCACTACACAGACTTGAGTTTGACGTCATCCCATTTGTTTATTTTTGCTTTTATTACCTGTACTTCTGGTGTCAAATCCAAAAAAAAGCCATTCCCAAGGCCTCGCCAACCTTTTCCTTACTTTTACAGTTTTTCCTTATGTCTTACAGTTTCAAGCCAATGGCCTGACTTTTGTGTAAGGTGTAAGGTAAGGGTCCGGTTTCATTTTTTTTTTGCATGTGGCTGTCCGGTTTGTCCAACACCATTTATCATGTCCCCTCCCCTGTTCTATGTTTTTTGTGTCTGTCAAAAATTAGTTGACCACATATGTGTGGGTTTGTTTCTGGGCTCTCTGTTCCGTGTACTGGTCTTACTTGTTTTGATTCCTATAGCTTTGTAATATAGTTTGAAATGTGAGAGCTTGAGGCCTCCAGCTTTGGTCTTTGCAGGACTGCTCTGGCTAGTCAGGGTCTTTTGTGAAACTAGGAAAAAAATACAAATTACAAAAAAAAGTAATTATATGAATTTTAGAATTGTGAAAATTGTTTTCTCTGAAAAATGCCATTGGAATTTTTATAGGGATTGCACTGAATCTGTATATTGCTTTGGGTAATGTGGAAATTTTAACAATATTAACTTATTTTTGTCTTCAATTACTTTCATCAATATTTTATAGTTTCAGTGTTAAGATTTTTAATCTCTTTGGTTAAATTTATTCCTGAATATTTTAATCTTTTTGATGCTTTCATAAGTGGGATTGTTTCCTTGGCTTTCTTTTCAGATAAATAATTGGTGTAAAGACACACAACTGATTTTTGTTACATTGATTTTGTATTCTGCAGCTTCACTGAATTTCTTAGTTCTAACAGGTTTTTGTGTGGAATCTTTAGGGTTTCTCACATACAAGGATCATGTTACCTGCAAACAAAGGTAATTTTTCTTCTTCCTTTCCAGTCTGAATACCTTTCACTCTTTTTTCCTGTTTGTCTACCCTTACTTGAACTGCCAGTACTATGCTAAATAGAAGCTGTGAGAGTGGAAACCCTTGCTTGTCTTGTACTGGATCTCAGGGGAAAGCAGTTTTACCCCATGGATTTTGTTAGCTGTGAGCTTTGCATAATGGGCTTTTTATAGTATTGAGGAAATTTTCTCATATACCTATTTTGTTGAGAGCTTCTTAAATCATGAACAAATGTTGAATTTTCTCAAAAACTTTCCCTGCATCTGTGAAGATGACTGTGTGGTTTTTATTTTTCAATCTGTTAGTGTGGTATATAATTTGCATGTGTTAAAACAACCTTGCATTCCAGGGGAAAATCCCACTTGGTCATGGTGTATAATCTTTTTGATGTGTTGTTGAATCCAGTTTGCTAATATTTTATTGAGAACTGTTACATCCATATTCATCAGAGATTTTGGCCTGTAGATTTCTTATGTCTTTGGCTTTGGTATCAGGGTGATGTGGCTTCATAAAATGAGTTTGAAAGTATACTCTCTACTTCTATTCTCTGGGAGGATTTTTAAGGATCAGCATTAATTTTCTCTGAATATCTGGTAGCATTCAGCTGGGAAGACATTCGGTCCTGGCCATTTGTCAAGAGGTTTTAGATTACCATTCATCTCCTCATTGTCAATGATTTGTTGGAGTTTGTTTCTTAATACACAGTCTTAACAGGTCATATGTTTCTAGGAATTTATTTCTCTAAGGTTGTCCAGTATGTTCACATGAAATCACTCCTAATAGTCTCATACGATCTTTTGTAATTTCTGAGGCATCCTTTATAATGTCTCCTCTATCATTTCTGATTTAATGAGTCTTCTTTTTCTCAGTCTAGCTAAGGGCTTACTAATTTTGTATAGTTTTTCAAAAACCCAGCTCAGTTTCATTCCTTTCTTTCTATTGGTTTTCTAATTCTCTATTTCTGTTCTGATCTTTGTTACTTCTTTCTTCTGCTAACTCTGGGTTTAACCTGTCCTTCTAGTTTCTTGAGGTGTAAAGCTGGGTTGTTTATTTGAGGTCGTTCTTCTTCATTAATGTAGGCATTTATGCATGATGGTCTCAGAGTGATGTTACAAAGGTCGAGCACCTTGGACCCTGCTGCCAGGTCCCAGCTGTGCTGGCTCTGGCTGCCCTTGAGCGCCACCTGGTGGAAGTGCCCTCAAGGCCACAGGGCATCCCTGGACCTGGGACTGGTGCAGGCTGGCAGAGCAGAGACCCTAGATCACGGGGCTAGCTTGAGCCTCCCTCACTAGTGGTCTGGGGAGCCTGAGCCAGGGAACACTGGGGCCACAAACACCCCACCTCAAGCCCAGCTTCAGCCACTGTCTCTCCAAAGAGAAGGCCCAGGATGGGCAGAGCTGGGATACATGCAAACCACTGTCACTGGGGCCTGGATTACTGCTGGGCAAGGCCTCTGGAGGGCTGCTGGGGGAGGGGCAACCCCAGTGGGAGGAGGTTCTGTGGTCCTGAGAGGGCAAGAGGGGAGCCCAGTGCTGCCCAGCAGTGCCTACGGGGAAGTGCAGAGCTGAGAGGTCCTGTCTGTGATGTCAAAGCAGTGCTTTCACCCTGTCTGTGAACAAACGCAAACACCACACAGGCGAGACTTACCACCTCCTCCTGCACATGGCTGAGCTCTGACAGCACCTCGCTCATTTTCACGCTGTTCTGCTGCTCAGCAAGGTGACTTTGCAAAGACTTTTTCTCAAGAGTTAGGGAGTGGATTTCCTCATTCATAATTGTTGAGTTGTCCTGAGTTGCTGTAAATTCTTGAACAGATGACAAAATATGCCTTGCCTGAGCTAGGAGTAAAAATAAAATATTACCATTGTATTTGTATTAAAAGTTTGAAGTGTAAACAAAACATGTCTGTACATCCAGACCTGGACTACATGCCTCAGAACCACAGACAAGCATGAGACAGTGAAGGGGCCCCAACACCACTGAAGCCACCTCACTCAGGTTTCTTCACCCCAGTCAAGGATGGGGACAGAGAATGGCAGAAAAAGTTTCATTCTAGAGCAAAGGTACCCGTTAGGATGATCAGGGTGGTGTAGGTGGGCGCCCTGGTGGCCACATGTCCTCTGCAGCACAAACTCCTGCTGCGAACATCTGCCAGCTCCAGCACAGGGGGCAGCAGGCTGCATGGCACAGAGCAGCCCACGGGCCCAGAGAGGATTCAGGGGCTCCAGCCTATCAGGGGGCCAATTCTAGGAGAATGCCAGGAAGGAGAATGCTGGCAATCCCTGCTCCCACTGGGACACTGGAGGCTGCACCCGCTACAGGAGGAAGAACCACCCAGGGATGCAGTCTCTGGGCCCTGACTCTGACGGAGCTCCCAGTGCACTCTTGCACCTGGGCACAGTGGGAGGGAGTGGGGCCAAGTCCTCTCTGGGGAAGGACCTTCTGGGCCCCAGGTGATTCCCACCCGAGGTTCAGCAAGTCCAGGGCCCTGCACACAATCAAATTTTCTGAGGATTTGGAGAAGACAGCAGCAGATTTTTACTCTCTCAAAATTCCCAAGTGAAAACAGATCCTGACAACAGCCTTGCCAGCAAACCCAGGCAACAAGCCTCTCCTGGTGCCCAAACCCACAGCCACAGGACACGTGGTCCTCCAGCGCCTCCCCGCCTTAGGAGGGTCTGTGGCGGCTGCGGGGAAGACGGCCAGGACACTTCCTGCAGCACAGCGGGGATGGCGATGGCCAACGAGGAGGGTCCAGCAAGGCATGGCACAGACCCTGCTTTGTGCCACAGGTGGGTGGTCCCCCACTGTCCCAACTCACCTAGGAATGTCTCATTGCTGTGCAGGGACTTGTAGCCGCTCCAGTACCTGTCAACCAGGTCGAGGAGCGCCTCCAGAAGCACCGCCTCCAGGGCAGTCTTCTTCCCAGGCAGCACAGTGGACAGCGGTTTGGGAGACACCTGTGGTGGAGACAGAACAATGACACCGGCTTTTAGCCCAAGACCAGCAGGCTCCGACACGACACCAGGCTTCTGACACCAGCGTGCTCATGTCCCTCATCCCCAGAGACAGGCACAGTGGGGCCAGTCACACCTCACAGACCCATGGGGGCCTGGCACATGGGAGTCACCTCCCTGTCCTCTGGATATGGGTCCCTAGCAGGTTACGAGAGCTTGGTGCCAAAAGGCCCATGTCTGTGGGGCGGGATAACATCCCACGCCAGGAGGAATGGCCGAGGATGATGCAAACTCAAAGAGACGTTCCCCTGAGTGGCAAGCCAGGAAACCCCCAACCATGCTCCAAGGTCCAGGGCTGCGGAACGTCCAGTGCACAGGGACTCTGGCAAGACGCAGGCTCCCAGAGCTGGTCTCGGCCTGAGCAGCCACCGGTGCCCGGGAAGCCCGACTCTAACACAGTCACACACTGGGCCAGCCAGAGATCACGCCAGGGCAGCACAGCCTGAGGCTGCCAGGAGATCCCAGCCTCCACCCAGGGCCCGACCAGGCCAGGGCCTGCATCTGGACACCTGCCAATTCATCTCTCTTCTTCCCTTCAGAAATTATTTTACCAATTGTGAAAAATACTGGAGAAAGGAGAAGGTGCTTGCTCCCTGCGACGATCCTTGGTGTCGAGGACAGGTAGTACCCAGAGCAGGAACTGCATCTGTTCTCAGGCTTGGGCCTGCCTCTATCACTGTTACTTGGCACAAAGGGCGCTTTTCTACTAGGGAGCGTCAGAAGCAGAGGAGACCCACATGAGCCAGACAGCAGAGTCACCGCAGTTGGGACAGCCCCGTCTCTCCCACCACCACCACCAGGAGCAAGTCCACCTGGGGACGCTGCTCTGCCAAGGGTCATGGGGGCAGTGCACATCCTGCGGCCAGCCAGCATGCTGACACTAAGGCCCGGGCCCTCCACCAGGAAGCTGAGCCTGAACGCATCCTGGTGAACATTCGGTGCAAACACCCCCACCAGAATCTGCACCTGGACCCTCGGCCGCAGGCATGGGCAGCAGAGCCCAGTTGTCCAGGGCCGTCTTTTGGGCTTGTCTACACTTCAGGGCACAGAGCACTTCCTGAGAGGGCGGTCAGCATGAGGTCACAGCATGAGGTCATGCCGAGGCAGCATCCTCCACAAAGTCCCAACACCACAACACATGCCCATTATCCACGGGGGCTGTATGTTGGCAGGGTCCATCTGTGGCGAGGGAGGCTGCCTCCAGGGGCAGGGAAGGCTCAAGTACACTCTCAGTCCTTCCTTCCTTCCTCCGGCCAGCCCAGTCAGCGAGCCATTAAGCACGCAAATGGACTGCGGGGACCACCTGTAAGGGCAGAACCCCAACACCCACCTCAGGACCCCCATCCGTGGGGCAGCTGGCCACCCAAAACCCCCTGGAACATCAGCACCCAGCCCGCACTGGACAACAGCTCCTGCCCCCTGACTTTCTTCTGTTTCCGAATCAGGACTGACCACCGAAAGCCAACCAGCCATGAGGGACCCCACTTCAAGGTCCTTGCCCCGCCCCAGGCCCATAGCCCCTCAGTACACCTGTACCCCCCTCTCCTACTCCTCTGCCAAGAGCTGCAATTGGGGACCCAGCCTCAGGTGGGGCTGTGCACATCTGAAGTGAGTCTGTCTCCCATTGGGCCCGTCCCAAAGGCAACAGCATGGTGCCCACGTGGCCCTGGGTCGCTCTGAGTGAAATGCACTTGCAAAGCAGGACAAGTCCCTGGAAAACCACAGAAGGCATGTCTGGGATCCATACTCAGGACAGGGCATGGATGGCTGAGCTGGCCGAGACAGTGGGTTCCGACTTTGGGGGCAAATGCCCCCAGCAGCAAGAACGGAGAGGTCGCCTCTCATTTCCACCTCAAAAATGGGCGTGGCACGGCACACAGAGGCGCACGTCTAACTAAACAGAGGTGACGAGCGCTAAGGGTGAGCACACTTGAATGCCCCACTCTCCTTGGGGCCAGAGGGACACTGGAGCAGCTCACAGGGTCCGTCTGCTGTGCCCAGCCCACCGCCTCTCATGCTCACCTTCCTGGGGCCGCTCATGCCATGGGGCCGCCGCTCTTCGGGCTCTGGCACCCCAGAGGGGGGAAAGGCCACCCCGCTCTGGCCCTCCCAGCTGCTCTGCTGGCTCAGACCCTCATCGGGGCTGGAGGGCCCGCCTGGCCGCACCGGGCAGCTTGGGCACTCCTCGTCTGCAGGCACCTGGAATCTCCCGCCAAGCATTCTTTGCTTCCTGTGCTTGTTGGGAGCAGGCAAAGGATTCAACCCCTTTTGTGTCGACAAACTTGACGTCTGAGAAGAAGGGGCTGAGTCCTCAAGGTCTGTGGAGGCTGCAAAGTGGGAGGATACAGGCCTCATCAGATCACAACCAGTTCCTGGGCTGTTACCAGAGCTGGCGCTTAGAAAGATGCGTGCATGAGAGTGTGATGGGTGTGCGCGTGTATGAGTGTGTACGAGTGTGTGTGTGTTAAAGAGAAAAGCCCCAGAGCCCGTCCGGACGAGGAATACGCTACGCGGGTGCACCATTGTAAGTGTCAAGGTGTGAGAGTCTTCCCAACACGTCTCAGAAAGTTCCAGAAATGAGTGAACATGACAGAGCAGGAGGAACCCCAGGACAGCAAATGTGGGGAGGGATGTCTGCCTGCGCCAGAGGTGCGCAGGAGGCTGTGGGAGTTACTGGGGTGGGGGGACGCAGAGCACATGCAGGCCGCACTGTGAGGGGCTCCCCGCAGGCCTGGCTTTGCAGCCTCTCTCCTGGACAGCACCCTCTGGGGCTGCCGCCTCTGCGGCCCTTCCCTGTGGGTGCTCCACACTGCTGCTCTGCTGACTGAGGACTCATTTCATTAGAACACACTTCAGAAGTTTTATTTCAGTGAGAATTACCTTTTAAGCATCTGCCATCTATTAAGTATATTCCTTAAATTGAGTAAGACAGAGGACTTTGTGAGCTAGTAACACACAGCTGACCCTGGAGGGAACCAGCAGTCGCCACACAGAGCTAGTTGGGGGCTCACAGCCCAGCTCCCAGGCTCACTGTACCTCGAGGAACCAGGACAGTGTGGTCTTGGTACAAAGACGTGGATCAGTGAGGCAGAATCCAGAGTCCAAAGGAGACTCGGTTCAACTCAATTAACAAATGTGCCAAGTTTACAAAAGGAAAAAAGACAGTCTTTTCAACAAATGGCCTTAGTACGACTGGGTATGGCAGGGCAGGGGCAGCAGGAGGCGACCCGATCCCTTCAGAGGCCTGCTGGGAGAGTGGGCACAGACCTCAACACTGAAGCCACACGGCGTCTCCAGGTCCAGGAGAAAATCTCATGAGCACAAGCAGAGATTTCTCTGCAGAATACCAAAAGGCACCAGAAGATACTGATAAACTGGACCTCACTAAGATTAGAACTGCTCTTCAGAGCATGGTTAACATGAAAGGCAAGCTACAGAATAGGAGAAAAACTATAGTACTTGTAGTTGAGAAAGGGGTTGTATTCAAAACCCATTATAAATTCTCATGACTCAATGCCAAGAAGAGAAAAAGGGACAGATGAGTGAAAATGTCAAAGAAGGAGGTGAACAAGTGGCCGATAAGCACAGGAAGACAACCCCATCACTAGGGTCCAGGAAAATGCAAATTAAAGCCATAATAAATACCACCACCTACAGGTCAATGGTCCCCGAAAGGCCGACTGTTCCCAGGGCTGGTGAGGACATCCAGAGGACAGATGGCAGGTAAATCCTGGGATTTCAGCCCAGACTTATGCCTCAACCTCTTGTCTTTATGAAAAGCTCTCAGAAAGTCAGGATAGAAGCAGCACAAAAGGAGCTAAAGCTGATATACAAGGCCTAGTGGGAAACAAGAGTCCCAGAGCAGCCACGCAACAACGCCCATGCGCTGGGAAGACACCAGTGCCCTTGTGGGGTCTGAATTCCAGACCTGGCCACTCTGCACCTTCTAGAGCTGAGTAAACGCTCCCTGTTGTGGCTGACACGGACACCAGTCCCACTAGCCACAGGACGCTTCCTGTCTCCTGACATTTAACTTCTTGCTGGTAACCTGGGGAAGAATGCAGTTTAAACCACCATGCAGTATGACCATACCCAAGCACACTGGCTTTTTCTTTTATAATTACAGAATCCAAATTGCTATTTACAAGTTCACAAGAACTTCATGAAGATTCTATACTTCTGTTGACATCCCAGGACAGGCGGGACCTATGGCCTTGTGCTGGGGCAGCACTAACCTTCATGGAAGCCAGCCTCTCGCTCCCTCTGGCTGGAGCTTGTGCTCCCAGGAGGGTTGCCCAAGTTCCATTCGCACTCAGCAATGAGGTTCAGGACCGCCTCATCATCTGCGTCCATGACCAGGCACTTCTTGGCTGAGGGGTCAGTGCACATGGCTCTGGAACGGCACAGTCTGTGAAGAAAAGCAACTCAGTGCCGTGACACCAGCCAGCAAAGCCACTGAAGGAAGACCACACACTGCCAGCATGGCCAGAGGTCTCCAGGAGGGGTTGGTGCCTCCGCTAACGCAGACTCACCCAGGACAACTGGTAACAGAAAGCAAGGCCCTGTGTGTCACACCATCTCAGCGCTGCACGGGGCCCACCGGGGTGAGTTCAAGAATGGAAGTTCCAGAAAGCTCCTCTGCTCTGCAATCCCCCACCACACTCTTCCCCCAGCATCCACAATGCAATGCTTGGGACCCAGAGTGTTAAGGGATGTGGCATTCCAATTTCTCTTTTGCACCAAGTGCTGACATCCTCCCAAAGGTAACCCTACCTGTGAAAGTGCACGCACTCAAGGGTACCTTACTTCCAACAAGGGCAGCTCAAGAAACCACTCTTCAAAGTGATTCCCAATCACACAATGAATAGTGATTTTATGACATCTGATACTCTGAGGGGTCAATAACATTCACTATTTTCTACTACTCAGTTTCCTGGGTGCTGCAGGGAAAGGGTCTGCCCACAGAAACTTGACATCTGATACATGTCAGCCTCTTTGGACCTCTGTCCACTGTTACTGCTGGGCAATAAGGAGATGGTACCAGGTCATTTACTAGGGCCTTTGAACTCTAATTCATGAAAATTCAGTCTTGAGATTATCAAGGACAGCTAACTACAAAACATTGCTAAAAGAAATTAAAGAAGACAAAAGTAAATGGAAACACATTCCATGTTCATGGACTGGAAGATGTAACAGTGTTAAAATATCAATACTGCCCCCAAACAATCTACAGAATCCATGCAGTCCCTGTCAAAATCCCAAGGATGCTTTTTGCAGAAAAAGAAAAACCCATCCTAAAATGCACCTGGCATCTCAATGAACTCCAAACAGCCAAAACAACTTCGAAAAGGCAGAGCCAGCATCAGAACTCAGATACAGCAGAAATGCTGGTGTTAGCCCAGGATTTAGAACAGTCGTGAAAAACAAGGGGGGGGGGGCGGTCTGATGAGTTACAAGAACGATGGGAAATCCTAGGAATCACAAAGACATGCTGAAGGCCAAAAACACTGTCCCAGAAATGAAGGAGCCTCTGATGGGCTTGTTGGCAGCAGGACACAGCTAAGGAAGGGCTCTGTGAGCTTGAGGCTCTCTCAACTGCAACCTCCAACACTGAAAAGCAAAGAGAAAACAAGACCAGAATACAAGACCCAAAAATTGTGGGACTGTAATAGGTGTAACATACGCATATGAGAACACCAGAGGGATAGGAAAGAGAAAGGAACATTAAACATATTTGAAGAAGACTGGAAGTTTCTTCAAATTAACACCACTTTTCCAGGGAGCTCAGAAAACCACAGCAGGATAAATGACCGAAACACTACATCAAGGACTGACACATCAGACTGCAGAAAATCAAAGACAAAGAAAAAAATTTTGAAATAAGTCAAAAAGAGACACAATTTAATATAGAGGAGCAAATACAAGAGTTACATCTGATTCCTCCTCAAAAATCTTGTAAGCAAGAAAAAAGTGGAGACAAGCATTTAAAGAGTTGAGAGGGGGAAAAAAAAAACTACCAACCTAGAATTTGGCATCCAGTACCATGATCCTTCAAAGGTGAAGGAGAAATAAAGACCTCCTCATATGAACAGAAACTGAGGGAATGTGGTGCCAGTATTCCTGCCTTATTCTTTAGAGAGAAGAGTAGGTCAGTACCTTGGATCTACATAAAGAAAGGAAGAACATCAGAGAAGGAATAAGAGATTTTTCTTCTTTTAACCTATCTAACTGATTCTGAGTTAACAGATAACTCAGAAATAAAACAGCAATGTTTTCACAGTTAGGTATGCTCATGTGTTACATGGTTAGCTTCTGTGTAAGTGGAATGAAGAAAGAGATGACACCGGGACAGGCAGATTAGGAATGCCTCATTATTATAGGACATGCACTGCCTGTTTAGTGGTATAGTTATTTGAAAATGGACTTGGACTAGTTGTAAATGTATACTGTGCACTCTAGGGAAATCACTTAAAAAAAAGACATATCTGGTACACTAAGAAAGGAGAGAAAGTGAAATCACAGGACATGCTCATTTAAAACCACAAAGGAAGAAAAAGAGCAGAAAACAAGACTAGGAACAAAGAGGAGCAATGAGTAGAAAACAGCAGCACATACGGTGAACATGAACCCAGTTGTATCCGTTACCATTCTGAACACCAAGGGCATAAATGCACCAATGAAAAGACAGAGAGATGGTCAGAGTGAATCATAAAACAAAACCCAACTAAACGTTGTCTACAAAAAACCCACTTGAATCACAAAGACATATATGGCTTAAAAATAAAGGGATGGAGATAGACATCAGACTGACACTAAGCAGAATAAAGCTGGAGAGGTTAAGTTAAGGTCAGACTGAACTGACTCCAGGACAAGAAGAGTTATAAGGGGTAAAACGGCCATTCCCTAAGATAAAGAGGCTCATCCTCCAAGAAGACAGAGTCCTTAAAGTGGATGCACCTCACAGCAGAGCATCAAAACACACGGGGCAACAACTGACAGAGCTGCAAGGCGAGACAGATATGCCCATCTGAGCTGGAGATGTCCACCACCCTCTATCAGAAGGGGACAGACCCAGCGGAGAGATCGGTAAGGACACAGGTGGGCTCAGCGGCACCACCAGTCAGCTGGATGCAGTGACATCTCTGGCCCATTTCACCCGGCTGCAGCACAGCACACACGCTTCTCAAGCCCACAGGAAACACACACCACCTTCTGGGCCATGAAACACACCTGAACAAATCTAAAATAAAAGAATTCTTGGAGGCGGAGTGCAGAGGAGCACGCAGGCGCCGCCTCCCTCCGCCCGGGGCTGCAGGCTGCAGGGGTGCGTGGGCTCGCGGCGGCCGCCCCGGGAGAACCCCTTTGCTGCCTGCCTCCCGCCCCGCCCCGCAGCGCTCCCCAGAGGCCGGGGAGACCCGGCCTCCCTGCAGCCAATTACCCCGCGCGGGCTCGTCCGCAGCCTGGCCCAGGCTGTGGCCGGACCGGGCAGCCCCGAGGGACACCTTGGAGAAGGGGACACACAAATGTAAGCCACAGGTGTCGCGGTGGCCTCGCCCCCTCCCGAAGGCCCAGCTTCCCGCTGAGGTGCTCCCTGCCGGCGGGGTGCCTTCACCAGGCGTGGGGGAGGTGCGGCCCGGGCGGCCTTGCCGCTGTTGGAGGGAACTCGGTGGGCGGGGGTGGGGGCGGGGGCCGGGGGTGCCCGCGGTTTTCTGTTGCCCCCAGAGGTTGGAATCAGCCCTTTTGAAGAGTCGTTGCAAAATGCTAAGAAACGTAAACTGGACTAGCGGCGGGCCGCTTGCAGTGTCGGGGGCGGCGGCGTGAAACAGCACCGAGAAGGAGGTCTCCTGCCACTGGTCCCCGTTCCTGGGGCCAGGGCCAAGTGTGGAGCCTGCTGCGGCCTGGGAGCACGTGCCTAAGTTCGGTGGTTCACTTTAAGACGTAGGGAAAACGTGGATCCTAATTACGAAGGCCGGGCTTGTCTACATTTCCAAGAGAGCTGCCCAGTCTTGACCATAAAAGCTTCTGGTTTCAGATGGGTACCGAGTTAATTTCCTCTGGGAACCTGCAGCCTCTGGCCAACAGCCCCACAGAAGCAGCGGCCTGGAGCCTTGGCACAGGGCCAGGTGTGGGAAGCATGGTGCCTCTGCCTGGACGCAGTGGGCCTGGGGAGCGCTGACTCCACCACATGGCTAACTGCCGCTTCCCACCGGTGTTGTATTCAAGGACCTCCAAGCACCCTTGCCAGTCAAACGTCCTTGGTGCCACATTACCAGCGGAGACGGAAACGGCTTGAGAGCCGGGTGAGTTGGGGCAACAGGCTCCCCGGGAAATCATGAATACTAACCAGGAGGTTCACCGTTCCATCTACAAGACTCAGTATAATCTATGTATTTAAAACACATGCAACTCGAGTATTTTCCAAATTAACCAAAGAATATTTGCTGTGGAGGCATATTCAAGCACAAGAACTCACACCGATTCGCCTTGGTCCATTCACAGCACTACAGTAAGACCGGCAGAGCCTGCCTCAGGGAAAACTCTTACAAAGGGCCAAAAGAGGTAGAGACTTTGCTGTGATGACTCAAATTCTCTCCTGCCAGAGAACAAGAGGCAACAATAAAAATTCCTGATGGATGATGACTCCATAACCTACCTCTCACTTGTGATAGCTAAATCCATAAAAAAAAAAGCTTACAATGTCTGCTCTCAGACAACAATGGAATTAAACTAGTAGTCAACAACAGAGAGATAAATGGAAAACCCCAAAATACTTGGAGATTAAAGATGTTCCTAAGTAACAAATAAGTCAAAGAAGAATTGTTCAAAGACAAACTTTTAAATATTCTGAATTAAAAAGCAATGCATCTTATCAAAATCTGTGGGATGATGCAGTGAAAGCAGTACTTACAGGGAAATTTAGAGCCATGAATGCACATATTAGAAAAACAGTAAGATCTGAAATCAATGACCCAAGCTTCCACCTTCATAAACTAGACAAAGAGCAAATTAAATCCAAAGTAAAAGGAAAAAAAGACAGAAATTAATGAAATTGAAAAAAGGAAGCCAATAGAAAAATCAACAAAACCAAAAGCTAGTTCTTTAAAAACATCAATAAAATTGAAAAAACTCTATGCCAGGAAAAAAAGACACAAATTACTTATATGAGAAATCAAGAAGGGAACATTACTACTGATCCCATGGACACTGAAAGGACAGTAAAGGAGTGCTATGTACAACTCTGTACCCACATGCTTGACAGCTGAAATGAAATGAACCGACTCCTGGACAGACACAATCCACCAAAACTCGCACAATGAAGAATGGATAACCAGAACAGACATATTTATTAAAGACAATCAAGAATTAATAGCTTTCCAAAACATCAGGTCCCGTTGGGTTCACTGGTGAATTCTACCAAACATTTAAAGAAGAAATTGCTCAGTTCTCTATAATCTCTCCTGGAACATACAACCAGAGGGAATGCTTCCTGACTTGTTCTGTGAGGCCAGCATATTCCCAACACCAGAACCAGCAAAGAGAATACAGGAAAACCAGAGAACAACTCTCATACACACAGATACAATAACCATCAGCAAGTCAACAAACTGAATCCAACAATGAACAAAAAGAACTATACACTATGACCAAGCGGGTTTTACTCTAGGTATGCAAGTCTAGTTCAATATTTGAAAATTAATGTAACCATCACATAAACAAGCTAAAAAAGAAAAATCACATGATCATATCCATAGATGCAGAAAAAGCACTTGATAAAATTCAACACCCATTCATGATGAAAATGAATAGTCAGCAAACTAGGAATAGAGGGGAACTTCCTCAGCTTGGTAAAGACCATCTACAAAACCTAGAGCTGTTATATTTAATGGTGAGACACTCAAAGCTTTCCCACTAAGATCAGGAACTAGGTGAGCATGTCCCCTCTCCCCACTCCTTTTCAACACTGTACTGGAAGTTCCAGCTAATGCAGTAAGACAAGAAAAGGAAATAAGAGTGTACACAGACTGGAAGGAAAAAATAAAACTGTCTTTATTCACAGATACATGATTATCTAGGTAGAAAATCCCATAGAATCTACCAAAAAAAAAAAAAAACCCTAACTAATAAAACTAATAAATGATTATAGCAAGTGTGCAAAGTACAAAGTGTTGTGGATCACAATGTGTCCCCAAAAAGATATGCTTAAGTCCTAACACCCAATAATCCGGAACTTGGCCTTATTTGGAGGTGGGGTTTACAGAGTTAATCAAGTGAATATGAGGTCCTGAGGGTCAGCCCTAATCCAATGTAATTGATATTTTTATAAAAAGGGGAAATCTGGACACAGAAACAAGCATGCATGAAGGGAAGTTCTATGTAATGGCATGGGGAGAAGATGCCTTGTGAAAACAGCAGGCCAGGGGGAGGCATCCACACACCAAGGATCACCAACGACTGCCAGCAAACTGCCAGAGGCTCAGAGAACCTTGGAATGGATTCTCCCTCACAGCTCCCAGAAAGAGCCAGTTTCTTGATTTCAGATTCCTAGCCTTAAGAACTGTGAGAGACAAAAAGTTTCTGTTATTTTAAGCCACCCAGTTTGCGGTACTTTGTTGCATCAGCCCTAGAAAGCAAATATGCAAGGTTAATATACAAGAGCTAATCATCTTCCTCTATACACCAGCAAGGAACTAGAATTTGAAAATAAAAAACACAATACCATTTACATCAGCATCAAAAAATGACATACTTAGGCAGACATCTAACAAAATATGTACAAAATGTACAGGAGGAAAACTATAAACCTCTGATAAATGAAATCAAAGAGGAACTAAATGAATGGACAGATATTCCATGTTCATAGATAGGACTCAATACTGTCAAGGTGTCAGCTCTTCCCAACTCCATCTATACATTCAATGCGATCCCAGTCAAAATCCTAGCAAGGTACCTTGTGGATATCAACAAAGTGATTCTAAAGTTTATAAAGAGGCAAAAGACCCAGAACAACCAACTCAGTGTTAGAGAAGAGCGTCAGAGAACTGACACTATGTGACCCATAAAGTCACATGGAGAAGGAAGCAGAGACTTTACCGGATCTTTTATAAGAGACTAATCCAGTCATGGAGGCTCTACCTTCATGACCTTATCACCTCCCAAAGGCCCTATCTCCTAACACCATTATTCTAAGATTCCAACATAAGGATTTGGAAGGGACACACATTCAGACCATTGCAAAGGGTATTGTCTACTCCGGAATTGGACTGGTTTGAAATGGGGAAGTGAGGGGAGGGGGTTACAGGGAGGCACCTGAGGGAACAGAAGATTCCCAAGGACTTGGAACGGGTCTTGAGACAAAGAACAGAAGTTGGGAAAGTATGGCCCACAAGTCAAATCTGGGCCACTGCCTGTCTTACTGAAACATGGTCATTAGTTTAGGTATGGTCAATGGCTGCTTTCATGATACACAGGCAGAGTCTGTAAATTGAGACAGACCATTAAGGTCCACAGAGCCAAAAATATTCACTCTCCAGCCCTTTACACAAAACACTTGGCCAACCCTACATTAGAGGAATTTATGGATGAGGTAAGGCATAAAATTCAAGGAAACTTTTAAAAGTTTCAGACAAAACAAAATGGTATACAAGAAAAGGTATATAATCCTGGCACAAGCAACATAAATATGGTTTATTGATTTTCATTCTCTACAATCAACCCATACACAAAGCATGAAGATACTTCATGGTGTCAGAACACATTTAAATACTCTCAACCCTGAAAATGTAGTTAGACACAAAGATGCAGGTACCAGGAACTGGGGGTGGCATGGAGGCGAGGCTCCCAACTAAAGCAGTCTTGGGACTGCTGGCCCAGGGCACTGAGCAGGGAACACAGGAAGGAGCCTGCCCACGGACCGTCGCCACACCAGAGGTGGAGAGGGGAGGAAGGGCTGTGGTGGCAGTCAGGTCCCGCTTGGAGTGCTCACACCCAGAGGTGGCGGTGTAGCCGTCCTATCTGAAGAGGAAAAAGTGACTCACACAGAACCCGGAGGCAGGAACAACTGCAGAACTGCATAGTGGCTGCCTCCGTATGATGGGGAGAATGGACCATCAGTTTTCATCACTTTGTGTTATTTGATCTTATGCATTTAATAAACTTCTTAAATATTGCAAAATAACTTACAGAAAATGTGGACAAAAGGAAGAGAGAGACTCCATGCCACCGTCTTCCCGAGCCGCAGCTGGTGCCTACATGCTTCTCCTACCCTGTTCCCCCAGGAGTCTGCCCTATGGGTGGCGATCAGTGCACACAGTCGATATCTTTTAGTTGATGCAGCAATTTCTATCTTTTAGGTAAACATTCTCTCAATAGGTGAGTCTGAACCACTTCTCTCAATGTTCAAATCCCCTTCTGTTCATACCTTCTAGCTCTGAAAACATCTGGGATGCTCTGCTTCGAGTCGAGTGACTCCTCTGAAGCAAAATGTAGCTGGGATGCTTTGCGTTCACTCTCTCTCACAGGACGGTCATCTACAGAAAAAAGGCCATAGAGAAACTAGGAAGCAAAGCCATGAAGTAGGCAACAGGACCCTGGCGAACAGCCCCCACAGGTGCACCTTCCCCTCGGGAGTGAAAGTGGCCCTCACCCACCCTGCAGCCATGGCACAGACCCGCACAGCCACCACTTGTTCTGGGACCTCTGTCCCGTGGGGCCGATCCTGCCGCAGGATCCCCGATGAGCACTGGGCAGACCCAGTGAAGAAGTGCTGGGCTCTGGGACCATGCTGGGTTTCCTAGACATGCCAGCACTGACTCCAGGCATACAAGAGCTTACCCCTCAGACCCCGCTTTGGAGGCAGGCTGCTGCCGCAGGGCAAGAAACGCATGTGCACGTTCATGTACAGCCACTCTTGTCAGTTCCCTTCTTAATGCACATCTGGGTGCTGGATGCCTGAGACACCTCCATGGAGGAGAATCCTGAGATGCTAAAGAGAGGACCCCCTAGCCGTGTGTTTACACTCAGGGTTTGCATCCTCAGATCCTCAGGACTGGAAAACAGAAGCGGATGGGAAGTTCAAACTGTCCTAGAGCTGTGCTCTGTGTCTCTCTTCATGAATACATGAAGATAGATGATTCCCAGACATCCCAAGTCAGTGCTCTGGAACCTGCTCGTAACAGAATCAGTGCTACAAATGTGGTTAAGTTCCAAAGCTGCCTCCTCAAAAGCATTTAATCTACAGCATACTCAAAAAGGATTTAATTACACTGAGAAATGAGTAACAGTACAATGATCACTTTCAGAGCAGAAAACCAAGTAGTTGCAGAATCCTGCACAGTGTGAGCTTGGGCCCCTCCCACCATGTGTGGGACTGCAAATCCCACTCCTCGGACACCAAATCCTATGGGGTCTTTTCCTCCTGCACATACATGTGACAGTAACAGTACCACACACAGCAGTACTGGTAGTGTAACTGCATTCAGGCACCTGGACCCAATTCCAATGTGTTTAAGTACATGGGAGGGAGTCTTCCTACATATGCTAACACCAGGCAGTGAGTTAATTCAAAACTCAATTCTGATGCTATCTGCCTGAGATAGAGCTAGATTCCCAGGTTAAAGACTCCACCCTACAAGACTGCCCTCCACCCCAACTCCAGATGCTGGTCGCAAGCCCCAGGCAGTTAGTTCCCTGTGCTTCTGACATACTGGCTACCGACTCCGGGGTTCCCATGACCTCTTCAGTTCAATTAATTTGCTAGAGTGGCTCAGAGAACTCAGAAAAACACTTACATTTACCAGGTTAATAAAGGACACCATAAAGGACACAAGTCAACAGCCAGGTAAAGAGAGACACAGGGCGGGGTCCCAAATAAAGGAGCTTCTGTCCTTGAGGAGCCTGGGGCCTGGCTCAGGGGCACACGGAGGCATCTGGTTCCCCAGGCAGAGAAGATCCGACAGAGAAGCAGGATCCAACCAAGCGGTGCAGGGAGGGCAGAGGGCCCTTCTCAGAGGCTTTGTGGGGGCCTCTTTGCATAGCCATGATCAACTAAATTATTGGCCATTGGCTGATTCAGCCTCCAGGCCCTGTCCTTGAGTGGGGGTCCAAAAGTCTCTCATTAACATGACGAAACACCCATCCCACCTTTAAGATTGCAGTATTTTCAGACACTGTGGATGAAGACCAAGCATACCTGGGAAATACATATTTGGTTATATGAATGGGGAAATGCTTGACTACATTTCTTCCCCACACAAACACGGTGAGATTTTTATCTAAAATATGCATTATAAAGGGAAACTAATGATGTAAGACAGATTGTAAACTTTCCCGTGTCATAAGGCTTCTGAGAAAGCCAAATCCAACTGTTTATAAGTCATGTGAACAGTCAAGCAGAAGTCAGAACACCAGCATTCACTCCTCCCAAATATCTAAGAATTGAAATTAAACATGGAAATTCTAAGTAGGTCTGAAACTAAACAGTGTGCCTTTGGAGGTCAGGCATTAACACCCACAGCCTCCAGGGGGCACCAGGAGGTGAGCCAGCACCCATGTGCAGCTGCGGTGTTGGTAAGAAAACCCACCTGCAGCCAAGACTGTGGCCGTGGGTCCTGTGCACTGGCCAGACACCGAAGGGGAAGGGACCACACACAGCTCAGCATTTACACATGCATAGCGGTGGCCAGTGTCACCCCTGACAACGAATGCGGCTGTGACCTGGTTTCGTTAGGTCGGCCCCCGCTGAAAGGAGATACCCACCTGCCACGCAGAGCAGTGCGTGGAGCCTTGGGACTGAGGACACACTGTCCGCTGGGGACCCAGGAGGGCCACTGCCCTTCCCCAGACATTCCCTCACACTCCACATCCCTGCTCAGCACCTGCTCTGCCTGGGAGGCCCGAGGACGGTACAGGCCCTCACCCTCCCGAGGGCCTCCATGCTCTGCCTGCCCTTAGGCTCCCGCCCCCACTTTCTGTCCCGGAAGTGCCCAGTGCGGAGCACCGGCAATGCTGCCAGCCCACCACCCGCGACAGAGACTGCTCTTGACCGCTGGAGAGGCGGGCAGGAAGGCACCACTGGGGCTTCCCTGAGACCCATGCCACGTCTGGAGGGCACCCTGAAGCTCCGCCTGGGAGCGTGTCACAGAGATTCAGGTCTTTTAGGGACAGGGTACTAAGCCAAGGTGTGGCTGCGCCTGGCAACAGAACCCCACCCTCTCACCCGTCACTTGCGGAGAGGATATGACCGATGAATTTCCCATCTAGTTTCCTTCTTGATGGAAGAGAAACCAAGTAGAATCCAGCCATTAAGATGAGCCTGAGATGATGCCCAGGGGCCACACGAGAAAACAGGGCACCAGATATTCATGAATGTGCCCAAGTCAGACAGCTAGAAAGAGGAGGCCAAAACATGTCTGTGCTCCCGGCCCCCTAGCTGCTCCCTGCGGTCACCAAGGTCCCTGCCGTCTTCCCAGACAGCTTCCTACAAGACCCCATCCTATGAGACATAGGGACTCATGCCATCAGAACAGGAAATCAATTTCCCTTTTCAGAAAGATTAACAGCACAATCTTCTGAGTGCCAGACATCCATAAAGGCCCTGCCAAGTGAGGGTGAGTGCGGCCAGGCACCTACCAAGCTGCCTGAGCTTTGGGAGCATATGCACAACAAACAGGAGGTAGCCAGACTCGGTCTTGACCACAGGGTTCAGTCGCAAGTCCACATCCGTGAGTTCAGTCAAGGAGCGAAGCCGAAATACTTCTGCTAATGAGGAGATGCAGTTGTAGTAGAGGTTGAGACTCTGCAGCACAGCCAGACACTGGATGCCCTGTTACAAAGACAGCACACTGGATTAGTCTGTGCTTGTCAAGATAAACACCTAGCAGAGCGAGCCATCAATACAGTCAGCCACCCTGACAGACACACAGTCCTGAGCGCATGCTGTCACCAGCACCAGGAATGACCTCACCTAAAAGGCTCTAGGCATGTGGCAACATGACTGGAAGAGGACTGAAATGCCCCACGTCACGTCCTCGCAGCACTAAGGGCGGCTGACATCTACAGAATACTCAGTACGCATCCCGCTAGGTGATTCACAAGCCATTCAGTCCACACACCACCCCATGCACTATTATTGCTCCCATCTGTCCGCCTGGTAAGCAAGGCCTGGGGAAGGTGGGAAATGAGCCGGCCTGGACTAGATAACACCCTGGACTCTGAGCAGGCTCCTGACCCCACATCAGGGGCGCTCACTTGCTACAAAGCACCATGTCCGAGGTAGAGGCTTCCTGCCTTCTTTCAATGCAATGTTTACACAAAGCAATGTTTACACAACTTGCTGTAACCTGGGCCACACTTACTCACCAGGATCAGACGCCCACTGTGTCTGGCACATAGCACCAAGCCCTGCTCTCTTGGTGTTACCATTCAAGGGCCTGAGGCTACCAGGAGTCAGACTGTAAACAGCTGTGAGATGCAGAAAGTGAGTGAAGAAGAACCCACTGATGAAGGGTGGGGAGTGACAGGTCTTTTGGGACTTATTTTATTCCCTTTGCAGCTACAACTGTCTTCCTCAGAGAGTTGTCAGAGTAATAAAATGTAATGTGGTGTGTAAGAAATCTAGCTAACAGCAAACACAAGAAAAACAACATGCATAATCACTGTTAAGTGTACAGCTTATAAGTACTATAAGCATAGTTATGAAACAGGTTGCATTTTTTACTATAAATGTCCTTTCTACTGCATTGATAATAGTAGATTTTCTTCTAGGTAAAAACCTAAAACTTACCTCTAGACTAACCAAGGAGTTGCAGGAGAGATCTAAAGATTTTAGACCTGTTAAATTCATCAAAGAATTTCCTAGGTGAGTAATCTTTTCTTGGTAAGTTCCAGGAATCGACAGTGACTGAAGTTCAGCTAAGAACAGAAAATTATGAGATTTTTAACCCTACTTCTTTATTGAAAATAAATTATCATAACAAAAGCAAAACACAGTAACTTCATAATCTGAAAAAATTGTGAGAATATAATTCATAGTGTGGATATCAGTGTTAAAGAACTGCACTTCAAGTTTTAGCTTATGTTTGCCTCCAAAACAGTCTACAAGCCCACGCCCTGACCCCCCAGGGCTTTCCCTCCGCACTCTCTGGCGGGAACACCCTCCCGGCTCAGCTCATGCTGCTGGTCCTGCTGCTCAGCTCCAGCTCCCACCCAGCCTCAGCGCAGGGGTCACAGTATGCGCCCCCACTCAGCTGACCTGGCCACTGCATGCCCCTTACACATGAGGACAGACAGCATGCTCTGCTCACCACTGGCCTCTACATGGCACACCAACAAGCAGGCACTGAATGAACGTTGGTATAAAAATAAGTCTCTGGGACCAAACAGACAGTTTGGGTCTAGACACACCAACGCTTTATGTTCTGAGACATGTTATGATTAAACTTAAAACTGGTTTTCTAAAAAAAAAAAACTGGTTTTCTGGCTTCCGGTTCTAGAGTAGACACATCTTGCCCTATTCCTCTCCACTTACTACACCTAAAACCTTGGATAACACATGAAACAAGCACCAGATGGCTCAGAGACCAGCTCTAGGGACATGAAGACAATGGCCAGTGAGCGCCCTGGGTTAGCTGGTGCTCTGGCTTGTCCCTTAAGCACCCCAGTGTGAGTGCCTATGCAGCTGGTGACACAGGAACACCAAGGGCTAATAGGGGAGGCCTGCCATCTGCAGTCAACGGGACAGAGAGGCGGCCTCACAGAACAAATTCCTGACAACAACAGCCCCAGTCCAGCCCAACACCAAATAAAAACAATGACTCCGTACAGCTGCCTTTGCACAGGGCTAGCAGTGGAACCTCGTGAGGGGACCCCACCTACTACACTGGCCTGGCTGCAATGAGGGGGCCACAGGCACCTACAGAGGCTGTGATTACAGCAGCTGGGCCCCAACTTCAGCAAAAGGCAGCACACAGCTGGCAATGAGTGATGGGGCATAAATAAGGAGCAGGATCTCATAACCTAACACCCAAAACATCCACAATACAGTCAGAAATTACCATGAACTAGATCTCAATCTGAGTGAGAAAAAAATCATCCAACAGATACCAATACTGAGATGACAGAATTCAGAATTATCTAACAAAGACTCTGAAGCACCTATTACAAAAACACAATGAACTATTACACTCTTGAAACAAATGAAAAAAAACAGGAAATCCTGGCAAAGAAATGAAAGATATAAAGAAGAAACAAAAGAAGTTTCAGAAATGAAAAAATACAATAGCTGACACACAAAAATCATAGGAGTAGCTCAGTATCAGAATAGAGATGACAGAAGATAAGTTTTTGAGTAAATGCAAAGATAAATTGATCAAAATTGTTTTATCTGACAAGAGAGAAAACAGACTTAAAAAAATAAATGAACAGAACCTCGGGGTCTGTGAAAGAAAACGAGATCTGACATTGATGTCAGGGGCCATGCAGTTCTAATCAGAGTTCCAAGAAGAAAAAAACAGTATGGCCAATATTTAAGACTTTAAAGAAATAATGGCTGAAAACTTACCAACTCTGGCAAAGACATAAACCTACATATTCAACAAGTTGAGAAAACTCCAAACAGAATAAAGGCAGAAAAAGCCATGACCAGCCACATCTGGAACAAACCTACATATAACATATGTATGAAAACTAAAGACAGTAGAGATTCTTGAAAGCAACCAGAGAGAAAAGTTATTAGCCACAGTGGAAAATCAGGTCAGTGGCAGGGGACTATCCTTCAGAAAGCAGGAGGGCCTGAAAAAAGTGGTGTCACATTTTCTAGTGCTAAAAGGAACTTTCAACCCAAAAATCTATATCCATAAAAAGGAGCCTTCAGGACTGAAGGCAAATAGATAGTCTCAAATTAAAAAGCACTAAGAGAATGAACGGACAGTTCTCCAAAGAAGATATTCAGATGGCCAACAGGCACATGAAAAGATGTTCCACATCACTAATGATCAGGGAAATGCAAATTAAAAGCACAATGTGATATCACCTCACACCAGTTGGATGGTTACCATCCATAAGACAAACAACAACAAATGTTGGTGAGGATATGGAGAAAGGGGAACCCTCCTACACTGCTGGTGGGAATGTAAACTAGTTCAACCATTGTGGAAAGCAACATGGAGGTTCCTCAAAAAACTAAAAATAGAAATACTATTTGACCCGGGAACTCCACTCCTAGGAATTTACCCAAAGAAAACAACTTCTCAGATTCAAAAAGACATATGCACCCCTACATTTATCACAGCACTACTATTTAGAAGAGCCAAGATATGGAAAAAACCTAAGTGTCCATCAGTGGATGAATGGAAAAAGATGTGGTACCTGTACACAATGGAATACTATTCAGCCATAAGAAACAAACAAATCCTACCATTTGCAACAACATGGATGGAGCTAGAGGGTAGTATGCTCAGTGAAATAAGTCAGGCAGAGAAAGACAAATACCAAATTATACCTCTCATTTGTGGAGTATAAGAATGAAGCAAAACTACTGAAGGAACAAAATAGCAGCAGGAGACTCACAGACTCCAAGAAGGGACTAGTGGTTACCAAAGGGGAGGGTGGGGGAGGTCGGGTGGGGAGGGAGGGAGAAGGGGATTGTGGGGTATCATGACTGGTGCACATGGTGCATGTGGGGTCATGGGGAAGACAGTGTAGCTCAGAGAAGACAAATAGGGACTGTGTGGCATCTTACTACACTGATGGACAGTGACTGTGATGGGGTGTGTGGGGGGACTCGATAATAAGAGTAAAGTAATAACCACATTGTTTTTCTTGTGAAACCTTCATAAGAGTGTATATCAATGATACGTTAATAAAGAAAAAAAAAAGGTGGGGAGAGACCCAGGTCATGTACAATGGCAAAAAAAAAAAAAAAAGGCACTAAGAGAATCTGTCACCCACACACACATACCCTGTGATGATCACTAAAGAAAGCTCTTCAAATATAAGGGAAAGTAAAAGGAACCTGGAACACCAGAATGAAGAAAGAATAATGGAACAAATAAACGTGGGTAAATACGTGTCCAAAAAAAAGAAAACTGGAGTGGCTACACAAATATCAAATAAAGTAGATCAATCACTCCCACAAGAAGACATAAAAATCCTAAATACATATATGCACCAAATAGCATTAGGTAAAAAGAGAAACACAAATTCACAATTATAGTTAGGAGTTTCAACCATCTCTCCCAGTAATTAACAGAATCACCAGACAGATCAGCAAGGATATAGAAGAACTGCACATCAGGCAATAAGATCTAATAGACATTTACATAAGATCCATTCAAAAACAGAGTTTTGAGTGCACTTTTCCAGTGCACTTGGAACATTCACCAATATAGACCAGATCTTGGGCCTTCAAACAAACCCAATAAATTTAAAAGAATTAAATCATATAAAGTATGTCTCTGAGTATAATGGAGTCATACTGGAATCAGTAACAGAAAAACAAACAAGGAAAACCTCCAAACATATGAAAATGAAAAAACATACTCCTAAATAAGCCATAGGTCAAAGAGAAAGTCTCAAGGGAAATCAAAAGAGTACACTGCCTTGCATGAGAATGAAAACAGTGTAACAAAACCTGTGGATGCAGCTAAAGTTGTACTTAGATATATTTTTTTATGTAACATTTTTTTTTAATTTTGGTATCATTAATATACAATCACATGAGCAATATTATGTTTACTAGATTCCCTCCATTATCAAGTCCCCCGCACATGCCCCATTACAGTCACTGTCCATCAGCGTAGTAAGATGCTACAGAATCACTACTCGTCTTCTGTGTTGTACAACCTTCCCCGTGCCCTCCCCCCACATTATGTGTGCTAATAGTAATGCCCCTTTTCCCCTTTATCCCTCCTTTCCCACCCATCCTCCCCAGTCCCATTCCCTTTGGTAACTGTTAGTTCATTCTTGGATTCTGTGAGTCTGCTGCTGTTTTGTTCCTTCAGTTTTGCTTCACTGTTATACTCCTCGAATGAGAGAAATTATTCAGTATTTGTCTTTCTCTGCCTGGCTTATTTCACTGAGCATAATACCCTCCAGCTCCATCCATGTTGTTGCAAATGGTAGGATTTGTTTTCTTCTTATGGCTGAATAATATTCCATTGTGTATATGTACCACATCTTTATCCATTCATCTACTGAAGGACACTTAGGTTGCTTCCATTTCTTGGCTATTGTAAATAGTGCTGCGATAAACATAGAGGTGCATATATCTTTTTCAAGTACTTAGATATTTATAACACTAAATATTTATATTAGCAAATAAAAATGTCTCGAATCAATAATTTAAACTTTCACCTCAACCATCTAGAGAAAGAGTAGAAAAGCAAGCAGAAAGGAGGAAATAGTTTTGAGATCGGAAAAATAACAGAGAAAAACTCACCAAACTAAAAGCCAACTCATAGAAAAAATTAAAATTCATAAACCTCTAGCAAGAAAAAAGGCAGAAGTGACAAATACCAGGAATGGAAAATGAGTTATCACTACAGATCTCACAGACATTAACAGGCTAATAAAGGAATATAAACTCTATGCCCATAAATTTAACAGCTTAGATGAATCAATTTCACAAAGCCCCAACCATACCCAAGATGAAACTGATATGAATAGTTCCAGTAACTAGAGAAGCGGAATTTGTATTTAAAGATCTTCATCTATAGAAATTTCCAGGGCCATATATGGTTTCACTGGAAAATTCTATCAAAGAATTAGCAGCAATTCTACACAACAACTTACAGAAAACAGAAAAGGAAGCAACACTTCCCAACTCATTTTAGAGGTCAGCACTACTTTGATGCTAAAACCAGAGAAAACTGACAGGACAAAAAGAAAACCAGCGACCAACATCTCTCAAGAACACAGATGGAAAAATCCTCAGCACAGAACGAATGGAAACGAGGCCCTTTGCAGGCACACACAGAAGGACCTGTACGAGGAGGGGAGCGTGTATTTCTCCAGGAATGAAGCCTGGGGCGAAGTTTCTTAAAAACCAACCTAATCCACTTTAGTAAATAAAAGTGAAAGAAAACCCACGTTGACATTAATACAAACAAGTATCTGCAAGATGCGCTCACCCAGGACTTAAGGGGGCCGGCGGGCAGGGCGTCTAATGAGGAGGAGGGGTGCGTCCCTGCTCGCTCAGCGGCCGCACCGGGGACCCCAGGGGCTAGGGCACCTCTCACCCACGCAGCCCGCGCCCTCTCAGGAGCCCCGCCCCAGGCCGCGCCTCCGCCCCAAACCCCCCAACCCCCGGAGCCTCGCAGGCTCCCGCGCCCCCACCCCCCAACCCCGGCCCCACCCCAGGCCGCGTCCCCGCCCCCCACCCTGGAGCCCCACCGCAGCTCTGCCTGCGACCACTTGGGAGCCGCCCGCCGCCGCGCACCCAGGTCGCGGTTCGGCGCCAGGCCGCTCTTCTCCCTAATCTTCTCCTCACAGAGCACCAGCCGCGGGAACGCCAGCGCCATGCTCCAAACGGCTCGCACCCGCGCTGCGCCTGCGCAGTGGGCCGCCGCGGGGTGGCGAGGGGCGGTGCCAGGGCCTGGGGCGGGGCGGGGCGGACCCGGAGTGGGCGGGGCCGGAGCTGTGGGGTCTGGGCGAGCTACGGGCCGCAGCCGGGCGAGGGGCGGCTGGTCCGGCCTGCCGTGCTCCGGGGTGCTCGCGGTGGCCTCCCCGAGAGCGCGCGCCTGCCTGTGGGGACCCGCGGAGGCCCGATCTCCTCCGGAGGCCCGCCCCACCTCAGCATACGACGCCTGAGGACCCTGCCCCACGAGGAGTCCGACCCCTGTTCCCGGATCTGCCCTTCCTGGGGACCTCCCCACCTGGACACGCTCCACCTGAGGCCCTGCCCCCCCGAGGACCCTCCCCACTCCCAGCCTTGCTGGCGTCATGGGCGCCCGGCGCCCCAGGTTCTACCCAGACTCCCAGAGGTAGAGTCCTGGCGCTCTTCTGCCCAGGTCACCCCGATGCCTCCGGTCCTCGTCCCATCCTCAGCTTCCGGGTGCCGTGTGAGGTCCGATCTTGGGCTCACCTGCTGACCTGGAGTGGGTGTACATAGGAGGTGTGTGGGGGGGTGTAGATAGGGAGTATATCGGGGATATAGACGGGTGTGGAGGTGTAGACAGGTGTGGGGGGGTGTAAATAGGAGGTGGGGGGGCTGATGGGACAACTGCAGGGCCACCCCCTCCCAGCCTGCCGACTGGTCTGTGGAATGACCCTGCGAGTGTGGCCCTGAAACTGGGGACGCCTCTATCCAGCCCAGCAGGCAGTCCCAGCCTCCACGGAGATCAAAATCTGGAGAGGTGCGAGTAGTGGCCAGCGTAGGGGGCCTCACTGAAGAAGCCTCAGGGAAGCCCAGGCCACCATGTGCAGGATGTGGGAGGGTGGGTTGGCCCCTCTGCATTGAGCTCTCCACTGTATGCAGTTGTCTGCAGCTTTCTAGAATGTTCCAGAGGTTTCTGGTCCTTCAGCCTCAATCCTGTGGGTGGCAAACCACAGGGTCTGTGTGGCTGGGGAGGGGTGGCAACAGGAGGTGACCTGCAGTGTGCTCAAAAGGAAACTGGGGTGGTTTCCCACCTTCTCCCAGAGCAGGGGCTCATCCCAGGCCCTTGGACCTTTGTGGCCAAGGAGTGCTAGCTGTGTCCTCCTCCTTAAGTGTTTCCTTAGCCAGAGGTCCATCACCCTCTGCCCTGTGATAAAAGCCGGCTCTGTTACTACACCCAAGAGGAAGTAAGCAGAATGGCCGAGTGGGAGCCACTGGACTCAAAGTCAGTGTCAGGTCAGAGCACCAGCTGAGGTGTCTGCACCAGACCCGCCAAGTGCTGAAGTTGAGCCACAGGTGGGCACATGCATGCACACACCCACACACAGCCTCACCCCAGCCACGTGTCGGGAACCCACCTGTGGCAGCACAAAGCTCTGCGGAGCTGCCAGTGTTCTGTGGACCAAACCCCACCCCAGATGCGGTGCAGCCCGCTCACTGGCCGTCTCGGGATTGGCTTCATACCCTGCCTGTACCCCAGCGTGTGCAGAGGCACTCACAGGGAGAGAAGCTGCGCAGGGGCAGTGCGTGCCCCCCACCCCTGCCCTCCCACCATCTCTGCCTGTGGGCAGCTTGCCCTGAGCCATGGTCCTGCCGACTGGGTCATCGTGCTGCCTGCATTTCTAACTGTAAAGATCAATGCTAGTGTTCCTGTGCTGTCAGGACATCATTTTGTCAACTCATCTCTTTCAAAGGACAGTCATGTGGGGCCAGAGAAGGAGCAGGGTGCCATGGGCAGGCTCGCCAGCTTGTGTGGCAAGGGGCAAGCTGTTCTCTGAACACCAGCTTTCTCATCTCTAAAAGATCAACAGGTCTCTTGAGGGGACCGCTGGTCCCCAGCCCTCTCCGACCTTGCCTACTTCCAGCCTACAGGATGGAGAACCTCTACATTGCTTATAGCTATGTTTGGCCACTTCCAGATGAGAAGTAAGCATGAGACTGCAGTGGCATTTTTGGGGTAAAGTTTTGAGTTTCTGGAAAAAGGAATACATGTAGGTGGCACATGCCATGCCCTCCTTCTCCTTGCATTGGACACAGTTGTGATGCCTGGGGTGCAGCAGCTGTCTTGGGGCACTGAGGAAAGTTTGGCATCACAGAGGTTCTAAAAGCAATGCCAGTATCTGCCTCCTCTAGCCTTTTGGCTAAGAGAGAATAGAAATAGTGTGGGGTGGTGGTTGCTATGGCTGAATGCATTCCTGCTGGATTCTGAGGTCTACTGAGGTCCTGGATGAAATGTGGCTGACATAGCCTGAACCACAGAGTGCTAGTGGAGAATGCTCATAAGACACGTAACTGTGAGGCAGACATGGAGGGGACCATGCAGGAGGGGGGGGGCTCCCTTTCCACTAAGGGAAGACAGGCCAGAGTCCCAGAAGAGGGTCCGGTGCTGCAAGCAGGGGAGTTGGGGAGGGCCCAGCACACCCAGGGTTCAGCCGGAGACCTTGACGGGGGTCCTAGAGGGTCCTGCCCGGCCTAGTGCAGGCAGTTTGTGTAGAGGACGGAGCAGGTCAGGACGAAGTGCAGACAGAAACCTAATTGCTGGTTCCCTCTACAGAGTGAGCATTCCCATAGCCAGCCCTCCTGCCCTTGGCCATTTGTAACTGTCAGTAATTGAAATAAAGAGCACACATGGAGTCACGGGGAAGACAGTGTAGCACAGAGAAGACAAGTAGTGACTCTGTGGCATCTTAATACACTGATGGACAGTGACTTCAATGGGGTGTGGGGGGGACTTGATAATATGGGTGAATGTAGTAACCACAGTGTTTTTCATGTGAAACCTTCATAAGAGTGTATATCAATGATACCTTAATAAAAAAAGAAAAACGGTTGATGATGACCCTCTGGAGCCCCACCCACCCAACTAGATTTGATGTTATGGGTTGCTTCCAGAAAAACAGAAGGGAAGCAGAGAAGGTCTTTGCCTTCAGAAGCATACAGTTTACTTGATAGTGTGTGCTTTAAAGGCCTATTTTGGGAAAACCTTTGTGAAAATGGAAAACTGCCCCCCCCAAATCAATGTGAAATCCCTGGAGGCACTAAATGTTATTTTATATGCAAAAGATGAAATTAATCACAGGATCTTGAGAGTTTATCCTGGATTCTGTAGGACGTCCCGAAATGCAGTCACGTGTCTTTATAAGAGAAAAGGGGACACAGAAAGACACACACAGAAGGCCTGACATGATAGCAGAGGCAGAGCTGTGGGGTCCCACAGGCCAGTGGAGCCACCAGAGGCAGGAAAAGGCAGGCAGGTCCCCTTGGGGCCTCTGGAGGGGGCATGGTTCTGCCAACACCTCAACGTCAGACCTCTGGCCCCAAAGCCGGGAGAGTATATCTGTGTTGTTTTCAGCCACTCAGCCTGTGGAGATGTGTCACATTAGCTGCAGGAAACTAATACACACACATCCCAAATTCAGTCTCATATCACAACACAAAAAGGCCTTGGAAGTCAACTAGAGCAGCCCCCTTAGAGAAGACTGATGTTCACAGACATTAAATGTCTTGCCATCGTCCCAAAGACAGTGGGATGATTCGTTTTTGAGGGCCATGGATCTTCTGGGGTCTTGTCCAAGAGCCTGTCCGTATGGTAACAATGAACCTGCACGTGAGTCACCAGGGAAACAGTTCAGGGTCCTGTGTCTTCTCACATCTCAAGGGCACCTGGACAGGACCAAGAGGCCCCAGCCACATCCTGCTCTGTCTCCTGTACATGCCAGCGAGTCACCCAGGAATGGGGCAGCAGGGCCAATGCAGGAGGGCATCAAAAGAAGCAGGTCCTGCCAGGTGTGGATTCACCTTGCTGAGCCACTCAGGTAGCAGGTGCTGTCAGGGGCAATAGCCACAGGGTTCCCAGAGAGGAGCCAGCACTGTCTCACACCCATGCAGGGGAGGGATCTGAGGCTGGCAGGAGAAATACCCGGTTCTTCCTCTGGATCTCATTACTCACCTCCCCTCAGGGAGATGCAGGCCTGCAGTGTACAGACCCCAGGACACCCAAAACAAGGGTGGGGAGGGTCACACAGACACCAGCCTGCAGCAGCCTGTGATGTCCCCGTCCTGGCAGTGCAGACCACTGTGGGGAGGGCCTTGCTGAGCACATCTGCTGTCCTCGGTACCCAACAAGACCCAGTTGTCTCCTGTGGGTTACATGCTATTTTCTGCACATATTTAACCTTCTCTAACCATCTTCAGAACTCAATCTCTGTAAACAGTTTTCTTCAAAGGCTCCTTTTCAGTCTCAAGGAGCAGAAAGCAATATCCTTTTAAAAACCAATTAGCCACACATTTTTGCTCATTAAATAAATATTTTTACTTTGGATGCAATTGATGTTCCAGATACGTGGAACAATGGGGTGTGACTCACCTGTTTGCTGCCCTGCAGCCCCTTTCCTCCCGGCACCTTTGAAATCCGTGTGGGGCGGTTGCACCGTGGCATGGAGGGGCAGGGAGGTCCTTCCCAGATACGCACCTGAATTCTCACCAACTTTGCAGTGTTCAGAAATGGGCTTTTAATCTGTTGCACATCCCTCATCTTGAGCCCCAGGAGGGATGCATAGCATGACATGCCCTTTGGAGAAGAATGCCAGAAGCATGGGCCTGAGTAGGAGGGGGCCCGGGAAGGGTGCATCCTGAGCCCCTCACACCCCACCACACTCTTGCCAGCTTCCTCCCAGGAGCTCCTGACCCAGCTTCCAGCCTCTCTGACCAACCTGTGCACTGCACCCTGACTCACCTTGTTTCCTGACTCTTCCTCTGTCCATGGCTGCCTGCACCCATGGAGGCGGGCGGGCAAGAACAAGACTAGGGGGTATGGTACCTGCTCCCTTCTGCAGAAAGAGCCTTCCTTCCCGAAATTCAAATATCAGTAAAGTGCCTCCTTATTCCTGCTCTGGTCCTGGGCGGGAGGGGAGCCTTGGTTCCAGGGTGGGAAGCAGGCACGTG